CCACGACAACACTCGCTGCACCTCCACCGGCCTGAACATGGGTACTAGAGCCACCACCAACTCGGCCAGCATGATAATTCACTAGAGCCTCTGGATGTATTGCGAAAGTTCGCTCATCTATTTCCAGCGGTCTCCAAGCCGAAAATGACTTGATCTCTTCAGACAGAAAAAATGGCGCAAAGTCAGTTAATTCTCGGTAAAGCCGACGCGTATTGTCTGCTGCAGTTGCTGTTGTTCGGGAGACCGTTTCCCGTGGTCGATATCCACGAAAGCTGCCTCCTGGGGGTGCGATTGCATACCCTAGTCGATCTCCTGTTTCCTTTTCTTGAATTAGAGTCGAACATTCAGATGATGGCAAGATTGACCCACCTGTGGAATGTTTCCTTGAATGAACATCAACTTGAAGTTGAACAACACATAGAACAAGTACTTAAAAAAAACTGCTTGTCATTCGACAACATGGTCGATTTTCCGCTTTAAACGGGAACAGAGATCATGTGCCTTATAGACATTACTCTCGACACGTCTCCTGCAAGGAGCAAATAACGATGAGTCTTGACAAGTAAAAAGTGGGAGTACCATGCGATTATCATTAGGAGTTCTACTTCTACTTCGCCAAGGACTTAAAATCTGATGAGAATTACTAGCAGCCGGCTCTTAATTTAAAGTGATACAGAGAAAAAGTGGACCGTTCGGGGTCCAAAACAGGAACGACAAAACGAGCAAGATCTCTATGCAAACTCTGCCACGGAGAAGGTGATAGGCCACATAAGCGCTCTTCTGGTGCCAAATCTTCTATCCTCTCTGGATCAGGAATGCAACCAGGAACAAGCTGTCGCTCTAAGATCCGGATCCATGTTAGAGGCGAGCGCTTTCCTATAATTTAATATCTCGGTCCCTCCAACAACAACATCAACGACAGCGTACCGGTACTTCTAGTACCCGTATACAAAGTAAGTACACCATTGATATTGGAGACGAAAAGGAAAATGCTCTTGTAGCGGGATGCTGCGAGATGAAGAATTAAAAGTTGAGTATCATAACCATGGGTCTCTTCCTTCTACTGCTTCCACCTCGTCGTCGTCCTCCTCCTCGGTAGCGGTTTTACCTCCTCCATCTACTATCACATTTTTTGGCATCAAAACGACCACAGCTGTGTCTTTGCGTGACATCAGTGTATAAGTCAGTCGTAAATCATGTGCAAGAAACACCTCCTTGTCTCTTCTACCATCTTTGCTAAGAACTATTGCTTCCTCGTCGTCCACTTCCCCGTCTGGGTCTCCTTTTCTTGCAGATTCCTCTAGAAGATGAGAGTGAGACCCTGCATTTGGCGCCAACTTCTTCCCAATGCGTATGAGAAAAAGCTGCATGACAAGCATTTTTTCGAAAGCGAGCCACTGTTTGAATGAGGCCGCTGATCGAGAATGTCAACGAGGGAATGTCGTCCTCTGATATGCTTCATCTTTCTTAGGGACGATATTCCCTCGTCCATCTTTTCAATCAGTGCCACCATAGATTCTTGTGTTCTTTGAGCTGCGTGATCATCGAGCTCAAACGACATATCATACCCCAAAGCTTTCAGATGATACTTCATCAGTGGTGACAAAAGCTCACGCGCTTGCTCAAAAGCTTTGGCCAGATTCGCTTCATTCCAGGCCGCTTGTGCGCTTAGTCTCAATGACTCATCTTCAGCATCGAGCATCTCCTTCGCAGCCCTAACTAAGTACTCGTTTTCCGTGAGAAAAGCGTGTACGTCGCGACAGAGCGCACGCACTCTTCGATTGAGCTTTCGCATGGATTCAGAGTCATAACGACTACCTCCGAGTATCGTTCTATTCTGCCGTCGCCGTTCTGGGTCCCACCAACTTGTTTCGCGCAAAACATCTTAGAATACGCCACTTTTGCTCTTCTTGAAATAGGACGAGAGATAGGATGAGGATGCCTCGACCTCACCGTCACCAATGGTGACCGCTCTGCCCACCCTCTTCTCCTTCTCTTGTTCATGCAAAAAATACCTCTGGCAGCCATGCCGCTGCTTGATGTTGAATTACCCCTCTACTTACCCAAGAACGCTAACCCCAACAGATATAGATGAAATAGAATTTATACAAAATTATATTGTCATCGACGTGATGGAATAACGAACCCGATACATGGTTTTGCTTAGGATTAGAATGAATTAGTAGACAAAAAAAATGATTAACGCAGATGAGTGAGAATCTAAATGTAAATCTTTTGAGGCCTTAAGCAACAACATATGTCCTGGTCCCAGGACCAGGTGTGCGGCGATGTATTCTCGACATTCCGCCGGCGCCAAGGGTTATCTTGTAATACGCCCTACTTTTAAAGGGTACAACAGCATTGCATTTACATTCTTCAGGTGAACATCCTTGACGTTGACCTATTGCTATTACTACATTCAATCTAAAACAAAGTTCAAGGATGTGCGTGGATGATGTAATTTGGAAAATCTTAATACTTTTTGTGGTCGACGCGGTGCGCTTCCTGTCGTCATCTTCTTCTTCACCCTGGATCATGTACTGTACATTGGATCGGTTATGTTAGAGTTGGCGGCCGCTAAAAGCAGTGTGGCAAAGGCTATGGACGAAATAAATACTCTCATGCTCATAGCGCAGGAAATCCCACAAGGGACGCAGCCGCTTTTTTAGTTAGATCTTTCTCTTTTCAGAGGCCCTGTCCCGGTGTGAGGAATCTTTTTCACACACAGGGACGGGAAATATTCACACGAGAAGACTCTACTAAAAACTTAGCTGCCATTCCGTTTCGCTCGTAATTTAATGCTAGGCTAGATATGATAAAAATACTCTCCTGTTGATTTTCTTTTTCCATAATCACGAGAGCAAAGAGGAAAGACGAAGTGGTTGTGGATCTGCTGAGGTGTCGGACTCCACAATTTGCTTTCACTTGGATCCACAGCGCGAAAAAGGTAGAAACGTGCCGGCTCTTCTTGACGACGCATCATCTTCGGCTTTTTTTCAGGGTCTGGAAGGTCCTCTTCTTGAGTAGACGATTCAACATCGTCTCGAGAATCTTGTTCAACATCCGAAGATGCTTGCTGCATAGGCATGTCCATGTCCCATTTTGAGTTCTCTGCAAGAACTGCATCGTCGTGGTCCCTCATCTTCTGCATCTTCATTTTCATATCAGCAGGTTTTTTAGCTACTACTTGTTGTACTTCTTTTACACGATCCACATCAATAGCGGTTTTCCAAGCGGTTTCAGGAACCTCGTTTACAGGTAGTCCTTTTGCGAACGCAATGGTATCGATCGTTTCCCTCTGATGCAGATAGCGAGCAGCTAAAGCTGGAGGCAATCCTTCTTCAGCTGCACTTGTATCAGTTTGCGTTTCCGTTACAGTTGGGGCAGTTGGTCTTGTTTCAGCTACAGATGCAGTTGAGTCCGCAGCTATTCCCCCTGCAGTCGTAGTTGGGCCACTTGGTCTTCCAGCTACAGTTGGGCCACGACTCGGTCTTTCAGCTACAGTTGGGCCAGCAGTGCCTCCAGGCGCAGGCGCAGTTAAACCAAAGGCAGATGATGGCCTTTCAGCTGCGGTTGGAGCAGCAGCAGCAGCACCAGCAACGAAAATAACAGCATCAGCAGGTCTTCCTTGACTTGCGAGAAGACTGAAAAGGAGACGCCAGCATATCTTTACGGACACATTCTTTCCGTTGCGGAACGTCCTCTTGCGAGTGCTCGTCGTGGTGGTGGTCCCGGTCGGAGGAGCCACCCTGATCCTCGTACTATCATTTGCCATCATGGTGTTGATCTTCTACACAACTGCTTGACGTTGATGTAGTTAATATTGAGTCGTTCTTTGTTTCAAAATAGTTTAGTTACAGAAATTATAGCAATTAAAATTATACCTATACCAATAGCATTTTATTTTCTTATCATAATTTTATTCCAAATAGACCAGTAGATGCAGAATCAATCACAGAATGGGAAAGATTTATTATGACTACTTAGAGGTGAGAGAAATATTTCAAATGCAAATTCTTGAAATTGGGCGCATGAAACGCAAGAAGTACACGTGTTGAGGACGAGCGAATGGGTTTACCACTACGTCTTCCTCTAGCGCTAGTGCACGAACAGAAAACAGACTTAAGAGCAAAGCCGCTCCTTCCAAGGTAGAAGTGATTCGTCTAGTACTACTCTTAGTTTGTTGTTCACTGCTAGTGTGACCTGTTCCGTAACTAAAAACTAACCTGAACAAAAATATGTATTTTTTTGGACAACATTAAGTCTAGTTACGATGTTTTACTTCATGCTCGTTCAAAGAGCCCTTCGGCTCCTGTTGTATTTGTAAGTGGGAAAAACAAGGAATTAAGTACTAAAAGGGTATTTTTTCTTTTTGGCTCCAGATTTGAGTAGTAGGAGTGTGTTGTCCATAGAAGAATCAGAAGGGCTTGCCCTCAGAGAAGGTGCTACAGATTCTCAGATTTCATCAAGCATGTTGAGATCATCTTCATAATCCTCGATGACCGACCGGTCTTTTTGCAAATTTAACTTCCAGTGTAGTTGTTGGGTGAGACGAGAGTGACAGAAGCAGTTCAATCACACAAAATTGGTTGTTGTAGAACAAGATGTAGCTCTGTCAATGCCAATCTGCACCATTCTATAACTTCACATTCCTCGTCGACTTCGTACAGGATCTTTTAACCAGATGACGTATCTATAATGTCATCGACACTTCTGTGGCGATGATCACAACAGGTACTAGCTTGAGACGCTCTATCATCTTCCTTGCGATCATAGCGCTAACGACGTGCTTTCTAAACTTTCTGGTTCGTCATAAAACAAAAGATCAAAAGAACATGATGCGATAAAAAAAAGCGACTAGTTATTTCTGGCATTGTTTATTTTTACACGATCTTCGGAATAGAATTTTCTATCACCTCCTGTGCCAGTCCACATCGAGGTTCAAACTGACCTTCGTCGCTTCCGTGCACTCTTCTTCGCCCCCTTGCCCCCCCCCCGCCCCGCAGGTTTACATGATGACGGCTACATCGTCTAGCTCTACCAAGGTCCTAGATATAAACCCCATGCCACAGAATCCCTCTCCCTGCCGACTCCTTACGAGGAATAGGACCAAGAACCTAGGCTTCCTATCTGGCTGACCTTTACGTCCAAGTCACGACCCTCGTCCGCATTGACTCCCTAGTTGTGCTAGTACTAGGCATAGGCTAGACCCTAGATATAAACCACCTGTTGCGCTGGTGGCGACAGGACCACCGTCTGCGGTGCTGGTACGACAACAGTGGCAGGCGGAGAATGTGTGTAGATAACTGGCGCGGCTGGACCTGGTGAGTAAACGATTCTCCTATCTTCCATTTCATAGTAGTAATCGTCCTCGTAGTACGAATCGTAGTAGGAATCGACGCAGATACAGGCGCCCATTTTGTCTGCCGAAGATAACGTCCTCAAGGAGAATGAACGCGAGGTTCTTGAAGTTGAATTCGATAGATATTTCGCGATGGATTCGAATTAGTATCTACTCTCTTACTTTTCTGCGAGTGATACAAACAATGGCATCACAAAAACATCAAAGCTAGGCTCAAGTTGAATACAACTGAAAGCAATAAGAATAAATAACGCCAGGGTGATGAATAAAAAGCGTCTCTGAACAATGACAAGCGAGGACACTTCTAAAAGCCGTTCGTCAGAGGATCATACACAATTTCACAGAATCATCTGGTTCCTCGTCACAGAAATTCATCTTCAGGCGCTTTTCTTAGAAAAGTTTTCCAAGTGTCATTGACAGACACGCGTTCTACTTGTCTATCCTATCCTGATTAGCATTTAGGGAAGATCGTGTCAAGATGAACATGTAGTTGGAGCCCGGTTCTTGAATGATTGTCAATCATTTTACGTAACGTTATTCAAGAACATCGCTCTACACCATGCTTGTTGTCTCAATGTCCTCACAGAATCATCTGCATCTGGCTCCTCATCACAGATGAAAACTTTTTTGTTCTGCTCTTCTCTCTAACTTGACAGAGTGTTCACACGCTCTCGATCTCGAACCTTGCTGCTTCGCTCATCACAGATCGAATGTAAGTAGAGTCCTTCTTTCATCTTCTAAAAATACGTAGCTGTGATCTCAATCCAGAACTTCCAGATGGTGATCGAACGACAGACCGTCATGTGGATCATGTGACCCGTAAGTAGTTTTCCGAGAAACGGCACTGCGAATTTTTTAGAGTGGTCCGAAGCAGAATTGCTTGCCATCAAAATGTGACTCAGATCATCAAGAAAAGTCGTGATTGTGATACTCTTTGTTCTTTCTCTTTCACCCATCTGCGTATATTTCCCAAGAAAAAGATGATTGGGAAGACCAAGACCTGCTGGTAAAAGTCATTTACAGTGCGAAGATGAATACCGTGAAGCAGCTTTTAAGTTTAAGATGACTGGGAGAAAATCCTACGAAAAAGTATAGTTCTCATCGAAATGTGATATGGCTATGGATCCGCGATTCGAGACTGATTTTAGTTTTTGCAGACTAAAAAAAGACGGTGGTGCCGATACTAGCTCAATCCTTAGGCTTCGCCACCTGAAGTCCTAGTTACAATTTCAACAAGACCGTGAACCTTAAAGTGATTGTGATATGCATCTGCATGCGGCAATGGGACGATATGGAGAGGGAGAAACGGGGAAGACAAATACGGAGGAAGCGTACCAAAAAGTCAATAGGTTGCAAATTGGTGTTGAATAATAAATCGATTGAAAAAAAACGTTAGTAGACACTCTAATCTCAAATTCGCAAATATCAAATATGCGTAGATGAAAATATCCAACATGTTTATGCCTGTGATAAACATTTGATTCTATGAAAAACTACAACATGGACGAAAGGAATAACCATGTCAAAATGTCGCATGTTATGATCTAGATAGAATGTTGAAGAGTATGTGTATGATCATGTTGATGTTGTTGTTCGTGTGTTAACACAACTTCAATTGGCTATACTCACAGACATAATCACCCATTACGTTGGACACTTCAGAAACATATTCTCCATGCTTTCACCATCTCATTATCCACCAAACGTCTACGTCTAAAATTCTTATTCCGAAGAACCTCCTACAGAAGATCCATCCGAATGATACCCAGCTGCAAGCTCGTCAAAGATTTTATCATCTTGTCCGACGAAGTCAGGTAATCGCGGCAGCCCCAGTGACGTGATGGAGTTCTTTTCTTCGTCTTATTGTTAGAAATAGAGTTGAAGCAGAAGCGGAAGAGTCAGAAGAAATCCGACGATGATCATGTTGCAAACATCAGCGAAAGGGTTGTGCAAAAAAAAACCTATCAGCAGGAGGTATAACGTTCTGGGACACGACAACGTCAACGGAAAAGACAAGGACGAGAGCGTGAGCGAGAGGATGATCAAGAAACAATTACAACGATGTGTAGTGCTGGATCTACTAGTTCATAGCTACTAAGTGCCAATAAAAAACCTCCTGGTGGTGCCGTAAGGCAAGAACAGTTCTTCTCGCAGTTCGTCCGCTAAGCCGATGTTGAAAGACGGCAAAGGTTCCCAGAAGATTTCGTCGATTCCCCAGCTCAACATCACCGCATAAAGCAAGCACAACTGCGGCACTGCTTCCTCTATTTGGGCATCACTCAAGAGCTTCTTGCTGGACCGAAAAGCTATGTCGCGGAGGAACCTGGATGTGCATGTGGTGGAGAGTGGAGAGCTATGTGTGGTTGCAAAAGTCGTGAAGTAGAGTGAGTATGGTGGAAAACATGATATTGCAGTTTATTTAGTACTCTGTCCTCTTTTCCGCTACTTGAGTCGACAGTAAGGCGTAGACCAGCTTCGGCGTGAAACGTGGACCCATCAGCGCACTGGCTAGCTCAAAGACTGAGCCTCCCCTTGGCCCAATCGCCAGAACTAGAGGTGGAAACTTGTTGACATGAGGCTTTGAAGATTTCGAAGTCCCCAATGGCAGTGATGTTTTTGGAGACTTCTGTCCCGAATGATGATCTTCTAGATCATCAACTTTGCATGATTCCTCTTGAGATTGAAATTGATGTGTGGTGGATGAAGCAGTGGTTCTTGAAGGAGACGTTCTAGTGGTCGGAGGACGAGAAGTTGTAGAAGGACTCTCATCTTCTTGGTCAACATCCTCAACTTGGCAGGAGATGAAGAAGTCATCGTTCTTTTCCGCCTGTGGTGCGTTAGGCAGAAGCCACCCTTGCAAGTAGTGGATGAACATGTCCACGAAGCCTAAACTCGCCGGATTGATAGTTTCTTTGAGCAAGCGTCGATAGAGCGCCGCGACATCCCCAGTTCCACCCATGGCGATGTGTAACCGGTCAGGCAGAGGGCCTGCACGATGGAGGCCTCTCTTCTTCGGTCCGCACATACTAGCGAGTTGAATGCTATCGTCGGTGATGTCGAACAGAGGGGCAGAAAGTTGCGAAGCGGCAGACGGAGAACGGTTCAGGTAGTTATCGCCTAGGTTAGAGTACAACAACGATGTCGGAACAACTACAGGGTTCAAGTTGAATTTGATGTTCTTGTTCTAGACATCATTGAGGTCAAAGTCTATGTCTAAACAAAGACCAAACCTGATGAAAAAAGGGATGCTATAAAACGGATGAAACCCAACAGCAACATCTCAAGCTCATAACATTTGCCAGCATGCCACTGGACCCATCCTCGTACACCTCCACTGCATTTCCGCCTGCACCATTCATTTTAGTTCCTTCTTGTCCAAACCACAATTGTCTTCGCACAGCCGCTGCCCTATATTTCTTAGAACTTGTTACTTTCGCAAAGTTTTCATCTTCCAAAGTAGTCGTCTTCCAAAGTTTTTATCTTCGTAGTGTTAGTTTTCCTTTTGACAGGAAGCACCTCCAACTAACATGCCTCTTACTTAGTCCGACTTCGTTCATCAAAAGAACTAGCATATTTTTAGGCCCTAAATTTGAGGGAAAGCTCTTGTTCCGGAGTGACCACTTCGAAGTCGTCAATGCCTGTTTCACTATACAAAAAGGTCCAATAGGCGTCGCGCATGACGCTGCTCCTCGTTCGCCTCATCGCATCAAGGTTTTCGACTCCTGATTTGCTCGTACCTCCGAAAGACCAGAATCTGCCTGTTCCGCGGGCGCGGATGGAGACCTGAGTAATCGTGAAGGTGACGCGTCGGAAAAAATGACACTTCCAATCTTATGTCTTCAGACTGGAAATTTTTGAGTAAGTAGAATTCCTCAAACTAGGGCTCAATACCTGTTTCACACTGCCTCCACAGTAGATCTCGAGGGCATCCTTTGCTCCCTCAACCAATTCTTGCACGATCTCAACGCTTGCCTCGAAGGCCTCGATGAGCCTCTTTGCGTTCGCTGCTCCCAACTTCTGGGCATCGCCGTCAGGGTTCCTGCCGATGTTGTTAGAAGATATAGAGGTGCAGAGACAGAAAATTGAAAGGAAAATGCATCTGCGGATAGTTGGTCTTGATGGACGTCACGTCTATTGTGGTCTTTTTTCGTTTTCACACTCACTGACTGTGATTTAAATTGGCAAATGCAAAAAATACTTCAAATATTGTTCCATTCTTGGATGATTAGGTAGTACAGTAGCTTTAGCATGATCCCCACCACCAAGACCATCCATAACTTCCGCCAGTTGTTCCATGTGTTTTGTCGGCTTTGTCCCACCAGGTTGTTGTCCCTCGTGATCCACAAGTTCGTTCTTGATGTCTAACTCGAGACGGTCGAAGCTTCGTAGCAGACCTTGGAGACCCTTCGAGAGTTCTTCGTCCTCGTTTCGACGTTCGTAGTCGGCGATCATCTCTTCGATTTCCTCAACGGACATGGCCGAAAATGATGAGGGTGATCTTGTTGGCGCAGATGCTGTTGTTGATGTTGAACTTCCACCTGACGATGTCGACGTTTGAGAACTACTACTTACGCCCTTGTTGTTCTTTCCATCTCCACCCGCTCCGCCGTTGATGTTGAATTCTTGATATAAGACGCTACCCCAATCCATAGGGACTTCGCGAGTGTAAAATACTTGTTCAACACGTTTTTCACTGACAGCTGCAAGGGCTACTTTATGCTGGGTCGGTCCGATTTCGAGTAGGATCAAAAAACGCATAGGAGCGCCGTATAAGAGGTCGGCTGGACAGGAGGTGTCTGTTGAATCAGAGGTAGATGGTGTTGGCGCTTTTGTAATCTGACTCCTTGAAGATGATCCCTGAAAAGTCCCTTCTACTTTTTTCATGCTTCGCGGCCACAAGCTATCGCTGTCGCGAGGACCTTGCTGTCTCATAGTCACTTTGCCTGTCGTTTTTCTCGCAGCTGATATAGGCAAACGTAAAGCATTCTTGGAAGTAGAGGACAAAGTAGTAGAGGTTGAGGCAGGCAAGGTGAGGAGTCTTGTAGCGGAGGTGTTGGTATCCCCGCTTGCTTGGTGTTTTCGATAACTTCCACGTCCACTATCTCCACTACCCGTCCTACCACGTGCCAGGTAGCCACCACTTGTGCCTAGAGCAGCTGCGGCTGCGAGGACCCGGGTGAGGTGAGAAGATGCAGCAGACGGAGATGAGCCTGCTGCTGTTGTTATCGAAGACTCTGTGGTCGTTGGCGGACTCAACGGTAATGGTTTGCCAATATCGGAAGACGAAAATGAAATCGACGGTGACGATGCTGGTGCTCCTACTGGACTGAGAGCTAGACTAGCTCCTGGTGGCGCAGCACGTGGGGTGCTGCCTCGCGCACTATTAAGACTCGCTGCGAGACATCCACATCTGGTGAGGCCAACAATGGTCAACGTCAGGACCAGAGCACTGCTTCTTGAAAGGACAAATGAAAAACGACGATCCATTTTTTTCATCCCGACTGTGTATTGAATCAATGAAGGATTAGGATTACTAGGTGAGGGCTTCAAGAAGAGGACAGGAGAAAAGAGTAGCTGATGTAGCAGCTGCAACTAAATCAACGACCAAGAGATCTTTCTCAAGTATCTCATTCTTAGCCTATCACTTATACTGACGCATTACAGTTTCTCATTCGCAGTCGGCACAACAAGGTTTGACATCTCTTCTTAGAAGACACGCGTGGTCTTGATCATGTTCATGATCAGCAGAGCAGCACAGATCAATATTAGTATCTATACGTAGTAACAACCACAAGAACAACCACAAGAACAGTGAGGGAGAGGGTCATATTAATTATGTCAAAACCCAATAAAAATCTTCATTTTCTTTCAGCATCAGGAGCAGAAACAGAATACAAATACTGGATAAAAATAGGTATGTTTAGGGGAGAACACCGAAGCCTTTTTTTGCAGGTTGGTTGCATTACTTCTGTGTTGCACAGTGAGAGGAGCTGCTTCTCGTACTCCTACTCCGACTGGATTCTGATAAAAATGCGTTTTCTTGCGTAGGCGCGACGCGAAGAAGGTCTCAATCATGATATTTGGGGTGAAACTATTAACAGAGGGCTTTCAATCAATCTCTGGATGTGTGTGTCTGCATCAACATCAAACTGAACTCTTGGCGCTAGCAGTTGCTTACTTCCTATACTCCGTCAAAAATCTTCTCGCATGTTCCTCGCCCAATACAGGTAGGAACCAAGGACTTCGCGAAACAAGGTTTTCAACCGGTGCGCGTGTTTCTGCGTTTATTTGGCGGTAGAAGGACAGCAAGCCTGAGACACATCGGATGCCACTGACTTGATAAAAGATGCTCCAGCTTTCTGTTGGAAGTACGGTGGAAAGCGACTGTGACTGATTCGTCGTTGCTGCACCTGCATCCGGTTCATAATTGTTCTGTCGCGTCTGACTCTGTTGATGAAGGAACTTCCCGATAGTAACATCACCCAGTAAGAAATCGCGAAGGGGTGCGATCATTTGCGGTCGAGCATGTTTCGGTTGTAGCGGCAGACCTGGTTTTCCGGATGTTGCTGCAGTAGAACAAGAAGCATCTCCTAGCATCAAAAACTCAGCTGCCGCATTCGTCAAACTTTCTTTTTGTTCTGCCAATGCTGTTGCTGCTTCGCCACCCCTACTGGATTCGCGAATGCACTCTCTTAAAAGTTCCTTGTTTCTAACGGTGTCGTCGTAGTCTCTGTAGAAGTTGAGGAAGGAAAGGACTCTCTTGAGACTGGTTCGTTTGGCGGTCGTGGTACTAGTGCTTGAAGCTGCAGGGGCTTCTACGTGTTCATCTCGGTAGTTTTCGTCCTCTCTCAGCAGCATCTCCCAAAATGGATCTTGTTCCACAACAGCCACAAACGCTGCTGCCCTAAAGGGGTTCTTCAAGGCGTACGTCGCTAAGAGGTCTACCACAAGTGGAAGCACAGCTTCGTTCAGAAGAAATGAGCGCAATCCTAGAAAGCACTCGGTCAAGGAGAGAGGTGGAGCGTCTTGGTCTGCAGCGGAAGGCGAAGCGCCTGGTTTTTGTCCACTAGCAGGCGCACTGCCTCCTGCAATCTTGCTCTTGCTGGAGGCTACAACTTTGTAGACATTGTTAGATGCTGAAAAACGTTTCGTCCTCGTTGTTCCTTTCGAAGATTCCTTCTGGTTCAGAGCGCCCACTCCAGCTCTCGCGGCTTGATCCTGCGCCTTCGCCAGACTCCAACTAGGCCGAGTCGGAGATAATGGATGTGCTGGTGGGAGTTTCTCTTTCACAACTGGCGTACCAATGAAAGCATGTGGAACTGCCTCTACGTCGTCTACTTGCTCCTCTGCCATAGCCCCCATTGGCATTTGTGTACTATCTCGTTCCCGCTCATGATCTCCAGTGTCTTGACCATCAGCATGACCATGTTGATGTTTCACCGGCGAAAACGCTTCTAAGGCTTCAGGTCCTACGACATGACACAAACCTTCTAGCAGCTCCTGCATGAATCGCAAACGATCTTCTATCTCGATCGCGCGTGCTTCCTCAAGAGCCTGAGCATCTACTTCGGAGGAGGCTCCTGCATCAGGAGGTGGAAGTACTAGAGAATCGTCGACACCAAGCATACCCCAAACGATAGTGAGGACTGAAAGGAGAAACTCGCAGTCATGCGTCTCTTCGTATTGGGTGTCGTCAGCGGGCGCGCCGTCCCAGAGTGCGAAAAGCTTGGTAGGGTTAAGGTCGTGGCTTGTGGAGGACCTGTTTGTTTAGTTTTAGATGTAATTGTGCAGAATTTTGTTAGGCGCCGAAAAAAATCTTTTAGTGTGCAGCTGGTGTGAGAAAAGCAGCAGAACACGATTCGGGAAGTAGAAGAATAATAGAGAAATAAACAAAAAGTAGAAGAAGTTGTCCTCATAAATTCTTACCATGCCTTCCTCAAGCATTCTTGCACTGCTCTGGTCAACACCAACAGTGCTCGGCCAGTAAACCGATCTAACAGAGCTTTCACCAACCTATGCGCTACCAAAGGAAATTGTTTCATCTTCTCCTCCATGTCTTCGCCAGTCTCTATCACCGGCGGCTTACAATAGTCCAGCAGCCAAACACTCTTCTCGTCTAAAGCTGGCGCCGATAGCATGGCCAATCGTTCCACGATTTCGTCCAAGTTGTGGCTGATGTCCTGCTTCGCTAGTTCTGTGATGTAATCCGTCACCAGGAGGTCTGCAGCATACTCGGAGTAGAACTGGGGTTGCTCATCCTCCTCGGCAAGAAGCTGTTCGGCGAGTTTGCGATCGCCAGCGTCTGCCCGGGTGACCGGAGAAGTGGCGGTCGGAGCGGAACTGAGGAGTTGGGGTAATATTCATAGTATACAACTTGTACTAGTTCTAGTACGTTTCCTCGAATTTCCATTTGACAACAACTACATGATCTAGTTACTATAGTATAACTGTAGTCAAATAAATCAGACAGCGACATCCAAAAAATAATGTGAAGATAAAGGAACATAAAATGCAAAGTGAATACCCTCCTTCAATCGCCAACATTTCTTCATCTGGTGGCGACAACAGGCCTGCGCTTCTAGCTCCTCCCGAGCCTCCAGATGATGCCAGGACTACGTGTTCCTTGAAGAAACACGCCAAATTTGAAGCGAATTTCTTAGCTACAAAAGGCACGTCATCTTGCTGAATGTTGCCCATTTCCAGGCTTGTTGCTCGAAAGCCTCTATTTCCCCAGTCTGCCAGCACATCCAACGTCGGCGCAATCATTCTGGCACTCCAAGCGGTCAAGATCAAGTGTGCCTGCACTCTCGCGAAAGGTTCGCGGGCTAAGGTACGAATCTCAAATATCTCATGATTCTCAAACTGCAGAAGCATGTTGGCAACTTCAGTGTACACCGCATCATCTAAGTCTTCTTCGGCTACGGCAGCGAAGGGACCAGAAAGGCGTTTACGCACAGGGTCAAAAGGGTCGACTTGGAGGGCTAGCCAACGCTCGACGAAATGCTCCTTGATACAGTGGAGCTCCGACCTGTGTGGAAGTGGAGGGGAGGTGGTTCAAATTCGTGAGAAGTATTAGTATAAGGAATAAGAATAAGTACAACTCCAAGTTGTAGACATCTTCACTAGAATAAATTCCATTGTGGTTGTAGAATTATCAGAACTTCCTTTTCGATTTCTGATTAACATATACTAAAAAATCTAAATCGTCGAAGAACTAGAGGTACCATATGTGATCCCACCACGTGAAGCTGAGTCTGTGCAGGCATGGTGCTACGCCACCACAGTATCCTGCTATGGCTGCTTCGAAAGCACCAGAAGGTCCTCCTACTAAGGAACTAGTTCCTCTACCTCCAGATCCACCAAGACCGGCACCAACAGCAGAAGTAGTTTCCACCGAAGCTTCTGCGCCAGCACCTCCTGCGACTAATCTTCTGGAGATTTCGAATTGGCTCAATTTCCAAAGTACCCGCATCTTGTTTCCTTCTACGCCATCTAAAATTATGAAAGGAAAAAGTGCACTCACGACACGACGACTCAAGAAATCGAATAGATGAATTGGAATCCTTCAAGTGGGCGAAATGTTGATGTTATGTAGCTAGTACTTTCATTCTTGAGTGTGAGTGCACTTTTTCCTTGCATAAAAATGTCAAAGCATTCAGACCAATCTCCGTGTTTGGCCCGTAATTCGTCGCCGTTGCCTGCTCTAGCTAGGGACTTGGGCAGCGATTCGTGGAGTCTGGGTCTTCTTGTCGTATATGTAGCAGTAGATAATTTTGTGCTAGAGGAGCTTCCAGCTCTCTGCTCAGGCAGCATGCCTTGTAAAGACGCAGCACGCCAGGACTGGCCGCGGTCCGCGCATAGGGCGAAAGCGCCAGACAGGTCGCCTGTACGTAGGTGTCGCCAGAGGTCTCGGGTCAATTTTCTTTCCGCTTCGTCATCCTGGAAGATCTCAGGCGACTGTTGAGGGCCGTCAGGGTGAAAGGCAAGCCGGGACGACATGCCTGAAGCAAAGGCTGCTGGCTGGGGAAGCTTGGCCCTGTGAAGAAGAGTCAGAGGATCTATTATAGACTGGATGGAGGCGAGCGACGTGATCAAGAGAAGTAGTAATCTCTAAAGTAGAATAATCTATAGGGGTGGCAGGTCCGGGATGGGATGGACCGGATGGACCGGATGCACTTCCCACCATTTCAAGGAGGATCGGAAGACCCAGCAGAGGGGTCCATCCAGTACATCCAAGTCCATCCTTCTACATCCGTTCTAGAAATTATTCTATTAATAGAAGCAGCAAAGTTCTATGAATGATTCTATTAATAGAAGCAGCAAAGTTCTATGAATGATTCTATTAATAGAAGCAGCAAAGTTCTATGAATTATTCTATCAATAGAAGCAGCAAAGGTAGTACTTTTTCCGCATCGCTTGCAGCGTCACAGGCCAGCTTGCGTCCATTCCTGGCTCCATTTTGCTCGTCCGCATCTCAATATCTCCATCACTCGCGGCATCGCGCAAAGCCTGCTCTTCGTTCTCCGTCTGAAACTTGTACAGCCACCTTAGCCATCTCAAAATCGCTACGAAATTCCTGTACGATCGCGACTTCGCAAACGCCAGTTTGAGATAGTCAGCTTCAGAGGAGTAGAGATGCGCTTCGGCGTCGACCTCGGCTAAAACTCTGTTGGCTTCTACGTCAGTGTGTTCGGCGAACCACAGAAGGTGCCAACTTGCGTAAACCTGGGTCTCGGGACTAGTCATAGGCAACAGGCAAGAAGCGGATGAGGTCGCTGGCGGATATTAGAGATCAATTTTGATTTGAGATGATAGAGACAGTCACTACTTGTTCTTCACCTTGAAAGACCTCTTTTCACTGAGACTGGAAGATGCCTCTGCCTCCAGTGGCGGAGATTCATTCTACTAGAATATCTTTTCAAATTTCAACCGCAGAGTGACGAGAGTAAGTGTAGTACGCCTACAACCAACATATTATATAAATTATTTTTCATAACTTCCAGGAAAAAGCGACCCTCGTTTCTGTCCTCCGTCTAAAAAGCCTCCAGCCCCTTGCTGGGCTGCAGCAGCCTGATCCATGTCCTCGATACTTTCGTCTATGAAGTACTGCAAGGCATGCAAAGCAGCTGGAATCTGTGGTGCACACGCAGATGGGGTCGGTGATGGGAGGGCACCAGAGGAAAAACGCTGTGGTACTGGGGTGGAGGAGGTTGCGCCACCATATGCGAAGCCACCTGGGCCACCCATCATAGAAGGTTGTTGGTCCGTCATTTTGATGATTAGCTAATTTTTATAGCATACCAGGAAGTAAGGGTATCCACAAGGGTTGTACTATCCTGTGCGCAGGAGTTGTAGTCATCGAATTTTTCGCAATCATACCTAGCTCGTGGCCGTCCTGTGCAGCTCGTCTTGTCAAGTACATCAATGCTAGTTTTGTTTACCTACGAGAACGATCTTCTAGTACTAGTTGTCACTGTACGACAAGATTACACTCAAGTCATCACGATCAGTCTTTCACAAAAAATTGAGTGGTCTGTCAAAATGCCATTCTTCCGCGGAAACATGTAGATGAAGGATCACATAACTTCGTACCTTTGACAGTCGATCAGATCATACCTCGGATTGAGACCACCAAAAATTGAGACTGTTCTTCAGGAACGCATCAACCGATTTTTCAGAAAGATCCCGCGTGCCTAGATGAACACAGAAGGAACAGGAGGATTCATTGGATCATGATCATCAACATTCTCTTGTTATTTTCGCGATAAAGTGTACGTGCTTCATGCTCATTCAATTTACATTCCTGAAATATGAATCCCGGTTATTCACGAGTACTATATTAAAGAGCTTTTTCCGCTCGGGATGTCAGCACCTAGCACTTCCAACGGGGGACGCGCATAGCCTCGGATTCGATGATAAGTAGCCACTCATCTCCTGCACCGAGCCGGATACTTATAAGAGCGCCCCGGTTCCTAGTCGTGGAAAACACTGAGCAGGCGAGCCCAGAGCGCTACCATTTCCAAGCTTTCTGCAGCCAAAACGCATGCGGCTTTTTGATTGTTGAAACAGGGAAAAGTTCGACTTTCAATACAAAAGTCGACGAGGCTGCCTCGATTCTTAGGGGGACAGCGACACCGGACAAGGTTGCAGACTCGACACCTACAGGGACGCGCATCGCCTCGGATTCGATGATAAGTCGCCACTCATCTCCTTCACCGAAGAGGATACCCCAGTGTCCCATTACTCGATCTGACCAGCTCGCACTTGTAGTACCGAAACGGCTTGAAGGTCAGTTGTGGCATTTTTTGCTTACTAGAATTTGAATTTCGTTTCCCGCCTATACTTCCTTTGTCGTGATAATCTGCGGATATGAGAAGATTAGCGTGATCGTTCCCTTCGTCCACACTACGTAGTAGAGCGTCCTCCAACATCTTGAATGTCAGATACTTTTCCTTATGTTTCCTTTTCAACATTTGCACTCTTCTATCGCAGTAAGCACAGCCTGAGCAAGGACCCGGCGAATAGGTTGGTCCGTTATAAATTTTCGCCTTTCGCGTTTCCGCGGATATCAAATTTTTCAAAGGAAATCCGCTGCTTCCGTCCCGCGCGGTTTCCGAGAAGAGCACCTCACGCGCGAAATCGCGATCCGCATTGAGCCTAAATTAGTGGTAGTTTTTCACTATCCCGAGTCGAGTGGAGTGCCCTTCCTTCCCCCTAGTTCTTTCCCCTGTGAATCAAGGAGGACTCCGAGTCCACTCAGCATAGTCCACACAGGATAGTGATCCTCTACCCTTAAATGAAGTGCAGGATAAACGCGCCCTGCGAGTTCGTGTTTTTCCAGTTCAGCACTTGCAACCAGAAGTCTTCCTTCCAGGGGTTCGTTCCAATTATCGTCTTGCTGTACAAGAAACGAAATAGTTCCCAGTCACACATCCGCGTGATCAAGTCCAACGTGATATCTTTGATGCGGGAAGGATCGGTTTCCAGTACAACCGAGTGACTCAAGTCCTCGTCAAGAAGTTCTTCTCCTTCTACTCCACCTGAAGATTTATTGAATCTCTTCACTTTTGTGCAGCAATGTTAATAATTGTGAAGAAATGTTCCTGCCATCTTCGATCTGGAATAAAACCAGAAGGGTCAAATCATTTCACAATCTTCATAATAGATCACCACGAATACAAAAGTTATAAAACATCCATTTATACCTCCACGGCCATCTTCTTCTTCTCGAGAAAAATCAGTCGTACAACTAGTAGACAACCGTCTTCTTTTGGGGGTAGAAGCAGCATTTGCGGCTGCTCTTGGTGCTGGTCCCGCAGAATTGTTCCTTTTCTCTGGGTATCATGGAACCATAGGACCGCACGAGATCGCGCACGCGCAGCCACAGGCCCGGGTCAGGCCGAGGAGGAGAACCAGCGTGGTCCCCCATCATGCTCTAGTACCAATTCTTGCCAGAGGAAGGATCTCGCGTATCAGATGAGGCAGCAAGATGGTTCCAAAACAGAAAAATCATGTTGACCACCTTCTGTCTATGTCGTAGTTGTTATCTTTATTGATGTCTTGCGTGAAATCTTTATCAACATCGCACTCATTGATGTAATCGCTGGAGCTTAGAAATAGAGCTGTACAACTTGTACTAATTTGACGCTGGTCAAAGATGAACATAACGGGGGACCTGGACGGGGAGTCACACTAATACAGAGAACAGCAAGCGAGAGCAGGACAGAAAACAAGGACCACCACGCTCCTATTTTCTCAAATCTCTCCAGTTTCGTATTTGTTTCCTCGTTCTCGTTCTCGCTGAGACGAACAGAGTAGACTTATTACTCTTACAGAGATGATAGACTTTGTTGTCATTGTCATACACCCTCCATGATGAAGATATTTCTTCAATGGAAGGATATACAGATGCAGATGGATCATGCCTAGATGAACACGACAGCAGGAAATCATCTTCGCTGAGTTTTCACAACATCGAGTTGTAAGAATTCATTGCATCATCATTTTCGTAGTGTCACCTTCGGAATGAAGTGCTTCATTCAATTTACCGTTCTGAAATTTCTTTCAGTTACCAATGAGGACTCCCGGTAGCTATAGTTCTTTAAGACCAAGACAACCTTATTTTTTTCAGACAACAACGAACTACTTATACTTCCTACATCGCCGCCGCCTGTGCCGCTTTCTCTCCCGCTGCATCCATTTCTGCATCGGACAATTCGACGCCTTCTGGCAAATCCGCAGCCGCCAAATTCTCAGTATCAAGATCGTGTCGCATGTCATCATAGTCCGGCACTGGTTGACAGTATCCCCAACTAGGTAACATTTTACCTTGGGTTCAGTTTTTAGATTTGTGTAGTACTATTCCCAAATGGATATGTTGTAGGTCTGTGATCAAATATTCAACGTGATATCTGTAGCCTACATGCAAAATAGGTCTAATGAAAAGAAAAAACCAACTACATCAGAACGTAAACTGAAGCTTCATAATGATCAATTGCATCGGTAAATCGTGAGTGCATCAAGAAGAGTACCATTCACAGGTTCATTCATCACTTGAGCTTCCACGTAGCACCACTCTCTGCCTACAACGTTCTCTGCGTTTGCGGTTGGAGCGGCGATGTCAGTGCAATTCGTAAACGGTTGTTGGTCCTGGATAAACGCGGCTGCGCACAGTCTCCCATCTTCCGTTCTGCGATGCTGTTGCCGAAAGCGCGTCAGTGGGATAAACTTATCCGCATTGTAGGCAGCGAAGCTTGTTGGGAATGGGATTCTTGTAGTCGAAGATGAAGAAGTCGATATTTCTGATGTAGTAAACGTTCTTGTAGTTCTTACATTAGCAAGTTTAGTAGAGGTCCGTAGCAGTCTTATCCTGCCCCTCGATGGCCGAGGAGGAAGTTGAAATAGGGTGCGCTCCTCCAGAGGCTCCGATGTGGTTGTAAGGAAGGACGATGGTATCATTTTCGTCTTGGTTTTTGAAAAGCCTGCTGCTGAAACACCTACTGAGGACACGGAGGGCGTAGGGGCTGCTCCTGACTCAGGATCTAGGAACATCGTGCTTCCAGTTGTATGTGCCACAGTTCCAGTGCCTGTTGTCGTGCCGCCTCTAATATTACCTCTCGGACGGTGGAATCCTGGTGGAAGCACTGCCGGGACAGATGTTGAGGATGCTGACGATGATTGCTCGCCCATCAATAACGCTTGCGATCCTCGCAGACTGCCAGAGGATCGCCATCTTTCGAGCCACGTCCAGTCTAGGCTCGGAGGTCCGAGAATGCTCGGCTGTGTTACTGCCAATGTCGCGACCACCATTCTCTTGGAGAACTGCTCTGCTTATCTTTCTTGGAAATTGGCGTAGTTTTTCAGTGTTCTATCATAAGAAGTGTTACGTTAGGCGCTCTACTAATTTTGAATATCACGGCATCGTTTTGGAAGAACGCAAAAGCCACACCAGGTTCCGCGAGCACGACTCGCGAAAGCACGACAAGTTCCTTGGTTCTTTCCGGCAAGACGATCACCCTGTCTTTCGAATCCGACAACGGCAACGAGATTGTACGACGAGAGCGACGTGAAGATGTTGCTGACGATAAGACGAGATTGTTCACGAAACACACGCACAGCAGAGAGGTGCTACCATAATTGTTGACATCGTCGACGACCTTTTGACTTCAATAGTGCTTCTTGGAAAAAACCAAAGCCAAAAAATCTTCATCTCTCATACGTATTTCTATGCTGCATCTTCTTCGCGTAGTAGTTGTTTAGCATCGCGGTATTCAAGTCTCCCTTCTCCAAAACCGCTTTGACCTTGGGCTGCACCATTTCATTCATCGGATTTCCAGGTTTCATCTGGTATTTACCAAAGATGTTTTCCACGTTTTTCTTGTTCAGAGTTGACGAGGACAAGGCGATGTAGTTGTTGCCGTGGTTCTTGCTAGTATCTACTGTAGTCGGCTTCTTCCCGGCCAAAACAGCATCTACGATGTCTCGGTTCTGAGGTCTCGGTTGGGCACGGTTCCCGCTTAGCATCGATGGTGTGTAAGTGTGTTTGTGCTTCATGCCGCCTTGGACTCCGAATAATATCTTATCGGTTTCCCCTGAGACATCATTGTTGAGACTTAGCATTCCAGAATCAAAATCCATATTATCCTCGCTGTGGCTGTCCTCCAGATTCACACTCGGCAATTGCGGTCCTTCCTGCAACGCCATACTTTCGCCTTCGCCTGTGTTAGGCATACTGTGATTCGTGCTGACCAGCATTTCGTAGATCTGACATGGGCGATAAGGATCAGGGCATAGACCGTGACCCATCTCTGTCGGTGTAGGCGGAGGTTGAGAGTTCCTTCCACTAAAAAGACTTCTGAAAGACGAAGTCTTGTTCGGCTTGTGGTCGTTGTTTTCAGTGTCGCCTGCAAAAGCTGCAGTGTTACTCCACATCTCGTTTCGCTTGACCGCATTATTCTCTTCAAAAAGGCGATTTGGTCGGTTGCTCTTGTTCACTAACTCGGTATGAAGATGAGTTGGTGGACTAGGACTAGGACGACTTTTACTGGTGCTCCTGGCGCTCCCACTGCTGCTACTACTTTTTCCAGCACCTCCGTGAGGTCCATGAGCATGAGTAGCATGAGTACCAACACTAGTCTTGAAGATCTCAGTCATCCAAGAGTTCTTACCCTGTTCTTCTTTGTAATTTCCAGCCACCTTTGGATTCATTTTTCCTAACCTCTCCCACTCTTCTTCATCGGCATAGGCACAAAGACGTGGAAACCGCAGTTTTCCATAGACATCGGTATTGGACGTGTCTTTGGTACTCAGTTTGACTGCCTTTGCCGCCTTTGCTGATTTCTCGGTTGCGAAAGCTGGTGCACCGCTGTCTGCCAGAAGGTTGGGATATGAAGAGAGGATACAAAAGATGCATCACCAACTATAGGAGAACATTCGTATAAATGTTTGAAATCATTTGTATTTGAGAAAACCCGCCTGCTGCGGGTGTGGAGCGAGCTTGAAAAAGAATATTATCAATGATAAGTAAATGACCTAAGTAGTTGTAGTGACGACCACCATTGCTACAATTGCACCACCATAAATCAATCCCCAAAGAGCCCCCACTCCCCTTCCATCCTCGAATCGCAGGCATCGTTTCGTCCAGATATTTCGAGGGTTCCTGAAACAAGAAATCTGCATCGTAGAGTATTCTTTCTGGATGGTAGTGGTCTCGAACACGCAAATGCACTTGCTGGACTGGCTTCTTGAAGACAATGTACGGATGATGACGCTTCGAAACTGGTTTGCCGCAATCTGTGAAGTACGCAGCTTGAAACTTCGCATCCCCGACGTTCGTGTAATCCACTAGGTTTTTCTGCAAATACAATGGCGTCGTACCAAGCAAGCGGTGCTGCCAATACTCATTGTACCCTTTTTCGTCTGGTAAGCGGAAACCGTACTTTTGTCTCAGCTTTTTCTCCTTCTTTTCGTCTGGATTGTACTCGCCAGACCTCCGTTTCCGCAAAATGGCGTCTTCCATCTCGTTCCGCATCTGATTGTCCCTAGCGTATTTCACCATTTTCCTTCGGAGGCTCCGACTCTCGGACACCATCATAGAGAGATAGATCGAACCGGCCATCAAGTCGTTGAAACTAAAGTTCTTGGGAAAATGCATGTAACGGTCTCGGAGCTTCTGCGGGAGATGAAGAGTGGATGTTGTATCTTCTGGGTTTAAATGGATGAGTTAAGCTAACCTAAGTACAACTTACCACTGGCACGACTAGAATCTTCAATCATGTGCTCCTTCTAAAACTAGAGCAGCATAAGAACAGATACTCTTGCTTCTTGTTCAGCTCTATGTCCAACGCATCCATAAATATTCAAATCCTCCCCAAATAGCTTATGCGATTTGCACTTCGAAAGCAGCTTGATGTGGTTGTCCAACTCTTCGTCAGTCATGGCATCCAAATCGTACTTCTTTGTCAAGTCCAACTTGCAGTTCTTCTGTGCTGCCCTAAAAGCAGCTAGTTCATCCTCCGTCATCTCGTTTGGGTCTTTGCCTACGAAACGGCTATCGGGTGTGGCGAAAGTGTTGGTCAGGAGGATGGTTTAGAACAATGAGAAGGTGAGGATGAGGTTGAGGGTTTGGTGATCATGAAGATGAAGACGTGGAAGGGTCACATGATGCTTTTAGCGGAGCGCCAGACTTTTAGACAGAATCATGCATCAGGAACAGTTCTAGACATGACCAAAGACATAACTTCCCGCATTATTCTTCTGGCCAACCATCGCACCAGTCGCAAGACCACCAACCTTCTTCATATGGCCGACTGCATCCTGAACACCCTGGAACAGCATTTTCCTCGCCTGTACGATCTTGTGTTGGGCCTGAAGAACAGTGTTTTCAAGCAGCATCTTGGATCGCCACAGCTTGATGGCAGCTTCGCGCTCGAGAGGTATGAAAGGGGCCACTGGACGTAGATGTAGAAGATCTGAGATTCTTACTACTGGTGTGTTTTCACTATTCAAGTAATCTTCCTACGTATGAAGACATCATCATCCGATCCTACTCTAGTTTCCATTTGCATCTTCTTCTAGATACCACCGCCTTCCTGCGTCTACAATAGCATTACATAAAACGATGATCCAAACATCTTCAAGGACAAGGATTGACTGATTGACGTACCCACTCGCGAGGTATAGCATCTCTAATTAGTTGCAAACTTCCTCATAACAATAGCCGCCACTGCATCAGAATTACCAGAATCAGCTGCTTTGCTGAATTCATCCAACGAAGCCCTGAATCCATCATAGGAACTCCTTACTTTCTGCATGATAAGTGCGTACTCCGTCTCTAGCTTCGTCTTCAGGTCCTGCACGCCCTCTTTCTCTTTCACGCGCTTGCTAAGTTTGTCCATCAATGGCGATGCAGACTCTAGATCGTCCACCTTGGCTATGATTAGAGTTAGACCTCAAACGATTGAAGTGTTTACAATTCATAATAAGTAAATGTATTCCTACTGGGATACTCATACTCTGAGAATCCAAGTAGAGGGATACGCATGGATCCTGCATCAACAAAGACTCTCTGGAGCTGGAGATGAATGGCTTTGAGCCTTAACTTGAGCTCCATCAACACCTGTTCTGGCCCCTTGTCCAGCATCGCATTAGCAGCATCAATAGCCTTGACTGCTGCTCCTTTCATCGGATTCATTGGGGAGTCTGGCGCGAAAGGGTCCATGAAATTTCCTTCCACCTCATCCACTTTTTGGGATGCAGGATGGTCGGCCAGAAGTTCTTCTTGTTCCTGCTTCTTAAGCCTGTCAGGAACGCCGGCTGTTGCTGCTGCGCCAAAAGCGTAGTGCTGGAAAGCACCATTTTCGAAGAAGCTGGTTCCGAGGGACCTGAGCTTGACTGCTACTGGTCGTACCATCATGGCAGATGGCCAGGTGGACCAAGAGCAAGCGTCGAGGACGCAGTGAAGTATGGACATGGCTAGCTTGTCGAGCTGTAACTTTGGGAGGACCAGGCTAGAAGTAGAAGTAGAAGTACTGATACTGAGAATGAAAGTGAGCAAAACGTTGGACATCACGACTAGTACTCAACATCCTTTATTGTCATGTAGAGATGATGTGTTGTAGTAGTAGTTTTCAGCAACTCAAACAAGTTAGGTGTGAGATTTTTCAACTCTCATTAAGGAAATGCACAAGTAGGGAAGGGATTCAGTTCTGACAGGCTGTAGTGCATCGAGTCTTCTACAACTTGCAGAGCCAGTTCTGACAGGCTGTAGTGCATCGAGTTTTCGTCAATTACCGAAGAACTATGCAACCGACGAGGGACCGATACTAGATGTAGATCGATGGAGTAATGACAATGTGTATAATGTCGATCTCAAAAGATGGCAAGAGCATGCAATGCCATTGCTCCAGATGAGTCTTTTCACAAACACAATGGAGGCAGCCGAACAAGAACATATTGTAAAAAGCTTTACGACCACCTTGTAGATCTAGATTTACGACCTTCTAGATGCAGTATGTTTTTCTTGGTGTCGCACAGGGAGAGGGTAGTTACTGAGGCTTTCAACTGCAGCTAAAAAAAGACGAGTTCATTCGCCAAAGCAGGATATGCCTAATTATTACAATCAAGTCGCTGCTTCATTCATGACAAAGTTGAAGATCGAAAGCAAATCATGACATAGACATTCACATCTGCTGCATCAAAAATCCATTCTGGGTTGATCTAGATGTTGAAGTTGATGTCCATCTCCAACGAGTAGAACTAGAGAAAATCATCTCCCCCATCATCTGCCCCAGCAGTGCCTCCGCTCGCAATAACTGACTGCGAATCGTACATTTGCCTGATCTGCTCAGCCGTTGTCGCGTCATCCACGTTCTTATCATCCCTCACTCGGATGAATCGCGGGAATCGCAAAGCTATGCCTTTTTCTGGGTGAGCGAGGCCTATTGCGGCACAGTGAACTGGAGAGATCGACAAATCTGCTGCTTTGACCTCCCATACTTGGCAGATTTCGAGCCAAACATCGGGTTTGATATGCGGCGACTCGGTCCACACGATGTTGCTCTCTGGACTGGTTCGGGTTTTGTCGAGGATTAGAGGATGGAGTAGTTAAGTGCTGGAGCAAATAGTTCGTTGTAAGGATCGATGATACTAGTACTAGAAGGAAAAGGAAGTTACAGTAAGAGTAAAAAGTGTTGAAGATCATCTTGATGTCATTTCTATAGTAGATAGAATCCTTGTAGCCGTAACTTAAAGAAATCGTGATGCTGCTTCAACGCTTCATCAGAGTAGCCAGTGCCTGCTTTGCACAAAGTCTGGAATTCGTCAGTGTCCGGGTTATAGCATGCCAACAAATAAGAGCCAAATGTTCCCGTCCTCTTTCCTGTTCCGAACCAAGCACCTTGTTCATGGTTTTCATTTTTTCGAATGATAAAAATGATTTCATCAGAATTATTGAAAAAATTCTGCGTTCAAGTTATACACATTGTGATTGAACAATGCTCTTGAATATCAAGATGGTGCTAAAAAGAAAGACAGAACCAGAAGTAGCCTAGAAGTAGAAGTGAAAGTACATGTGATCATCTTCAACAAACAAACAGTCTGTACCGATCGGCACGACATCTACGCTGTCTCCCATCCCCTGCATGTAATCTTTCTTCAACTTGAGCCAATTCAGTGACCTTTTACTCGGTTCATACGTCGCGTTGTCGTCCAGCGTTTTCAGCATCAAACCTTCACAACTTCCACCCACTGCCTCGTTCAGATAATTCTGAATATCTTCCTCCACCAACTCCATGTCCTTGCCCTCTGCAAAATGCAACGTCCCCTCGCTGTGCTTCAACGCCGACTGCAACTTGTCACGACGTTCGCGTAGATTAGTGGTTGCGCCATTTTTGCTCTCTTCAGACCATCCTTGACTTCGTATTTCCTCTTGGAGGGAAACAAGTCAAGAATGGTCATGGTAGTGCAGGAGGAAGCAAAATTGTGGAAACCCTTAAGTAGCGTTTTCCCGGTCCAAGGCTTACCGTTTAAGAAGATCAAGTCGAACACGAACAGACAAACTTGGACCTTGATATCCTCAATTTTCACGTTCTTCTTGCTACGAGTGGAGAGCTTCTGGAAGGGTTGGATCGTTTTAGTAGCTGGTTCGTAAGCGACAACCTCAGCGTCGACGCAGATTAGAAAAAGTACTTATGTTGCGAGGAAGAGGAAGATGAGACCAAGAAGCTGCTACAAAACAGATTGAGGAAGGAGCAGAGACGAGAGTACAGTTTGATGCGGACACAGAAAGTACAACAATCAAGAATTTAAGTCTTTGTCTTTTTGTCATCTTTCAAAGAATCATTCAATTATTTCAAAGAACCAGGAGTGTCCCGCTTGCTTGGTCATAAAATCAGCGACGTTACTCCGTCTCCGAGGTTTTTCTTCACGATCTCGATGACGTCTGGATACTTGGGTGTCATGTTTTCGCTGTTTCGACTGTAAACCCTGTACTCGATCTTCCCGCTTTTCGTCTTGTAAACATGCACCTGCGCTCGTTCACCATCATATTTGTACTCAGCAGTGAACTTCGTGTTCGCTAGGCGTTCAAGAACTTCGTGAATCCCCTTACTAGGCTTGGCGAGCATGGGTTTCAGAGGAATGCCTGGTGTGATCTTGCACATCTTGTTCAGACGCTCAGGAGTGATGTAGTTGTGGGTGAACGATGAAGTTGTAGGAACTCCTAATGCAGCACCAGGTGCACCTCCTGCTTCGCCACTAGTGGCATCTGGTGCAGGCTGCGGAGGACTTGTCAATGCATTGATGATTCGTTCATAGTTGGGGCATTCACAGTATGCCCGCTTGACTGCCGTCTCCATCGCTTGCAGCCTCGCTTCCAGCTCCAAATCACTTCCAAATTCCGGTCCCCCTGTCCGACTGTCACTGCAATCCGCAAACACAATTGCATGCGCTAAGGCGACTAAGATTGTGGCATTGTTGATGCCTACACGCAACTTAGCTTGGAATGAACGAACTAGGTATTTTACCTCGTCGCGCTGAGTAGCGGCAATCAGCTTTTGCATAGTTTCGGTTTTCTGCTTCTGAGAATTCTTGCCCTCTGCCTTCGCGATCTTATCGCGAATTTCAGTGAAGACCTTCGCAATCGTCAACCTAGCTGGCGTCATAATCTGCCGTGTCTTCATCTTCAGGAGGGGATTAGAGGCGAATACTGGGAGTAGAGGCCTAAGTATTCACAAGAGGAATGCGAATGAGGATGAGCAGCAGCAGTGATGATGATCTTCATGTACTAACAAAACCAGTGGTATATCATGATATTATCACTTCTTGTTCTAGAAGGTCCAGCTTGTTTTGGTGATGATACTATTATTTCGATTTTCATCTTGAAAAACGACGGATTCACTATCACCATTGCCATAATCAAAGCCGCTTCTCCTATGTCTTGCGCTTCCGATCGCGTGATCAAGTCCTGAATTGCTGACTGACTCGAACTAAACGACGTCGAAACCGCCTTGAAAACTAGCGAGTCGCCAACTCCAACCTCTAACCCTTCGTAGTCAGCACCTACTTTCGATAGCAGGAAGTACACCGCGAAGAGCAAGTCGGATTTCCGTTTGTAGAGGATCGTGCGGAAAACGTTAGTCAAAACGACGATTTTCATTTTGTTGGACCCTTTACCGCTGCCAATCTTCTCCTCGATCAAGGTGAGGCCGTCAGCGATTAGTTGAAAGGGAAGGGGTTTGTCGGGATCGAAGTTGGTGAAAACTTTTGGGTGAAAGGACGTCGAAGCTAGATGATCTTTGACGATGATTTCCTTTGACTTCGACGAGGATGTCGCAGAAGATGTACTTTGGGCTATTGTTTTGAAAGCTCTTTCTGCCCTGCGGAAATCCTCCCAGTAGGACAAAGGTCCTGTGCCAGCGTTCGCCGAACCTGTAGCTCCAACACCATCTGTTCCTCCTGCTCCTCCTGTACCTGTATTTGTTGCTTTAACTGCCTTCCCCAGATTCATCATGTCCAAGGCAGTCAGCTTGGTGGAGGACGAGGACGAACTACTTGTTCCTGCTTGTTGAGCAACAGCACTAGTCGCAGGAACAAGTCCATCTCGCAGCGATTGTACTGCACTCTTCGCATCTGCTAATAGGTTTGAAATTGAAGATGAAGAACCACCAGGTTTTACTTTCTGAGCGCTATCTGGACTCCCACATGATGAAGCACCATTTGCTCCTGTAGTGCCTCCAAGATCTTCTAGTTGTACTGGTTTCTTCTGTCGCTTGGCATCGGCGTCCTCCTTCTCTCCTGGTGCCCCTTGAGAATTAGCTACGGCTTCTAAAGGCCGCTTGAGGCTCGAGCCTGGGTCTGCGGTGACCATTTTGAGGAATGATTTTAGCTTGTCAAACAGGTTTCTTACAAATGAAGGAAACCGTTCTTCTGGTTGTACTGGTTCGCGGTTAGCGTTATTTTCTACAACGGATTTATCGTTATTCTTGCTCGATAAATCTAGCTTATCGACTTTTTTACTTGCATAGCAAGTCGGTGAAACTATACCGGCATCATGATATTTCAATCTTTTTCTTTCTACAAAAGTAAGCGGGGGACGACGACAAAAAATCCGAAGCAGTGAAGATCTCATTAGTCAACTTAGCGAGTCTTTACAGATACTCAGTCAAATTAGAAGATGTCTCAACGTGGTCTGCAGGGCGAAAACGAGGAAATTATGCAACAACGAGGAGGTGGAGGCCTGCAGCAAAATGAGAGTAGGAGAAGACCACGCCTAGAAGAAGGTGCAGATCACGGCTTCCTCGGTTGTCTAAAGCTACTAGTACCCATTCCATATATCCGCAAGAACGAATCCTCAGTCTACTAGACTAAAAAAATGTGTATGTGACAGCCGATTTAAATATTAAGCGCATATTTGGATTTACTGCATCAAACACCTCTTTCGTAGAAGCCAAGATCGTTTTACTTGCGGTTTGCTTCCAGCAACATTCCTGTTGCGAAAGAGAGGTAGAAAACTCGAACAGAACTGCTTCCCCTGGGTCTGCGTTTCACCAACAGGAAATCAATGATAGACATAGACCCGTCTTTTGACTCGTGCTATGTAAGTGCATCCTCCTGTTCACATGCACTTGCTGTATTAAGAGCGTCCTCCTCTGCCAAGTCTGAGCATCATTTCACGAGTCATGCTCATTCAAAAAATGCGCATCTCGATCTATTTGCTCATTTAGTGACCGTGAGGAAGGGTCGTGAGGAAAACCTTTGACTACAAATCTTGAGAACAATGTCGTCGATGATACCGCTGGAAAATGATTGAAACGCCTCATCCTGGCGCCGTCGCTTCTTGGCTTTGAAAAAAACCTCTTACTTCGGCACAACTTTCAGCACCTTCAAAGCGTTGCGCACCATCTGGTAAAGAGTGTATGTTCTTGATGATATCCTGTGGTACTAATAGTAAACAGAACTTGGTCCTCTTAGTCTTCCTGATGTGAAAATGAAACTATGTATAACACTGCCATTCGCATTCCTCAACATCATATCAAGTTGTAAGTGGATCGAATTTCAAAAAACAAGTACCGCATCCGTTCGCATCGGGGAGTATTGGGTTCGCTTGTGATGGCAGTAGTCCAGCAGCACGTCAACCCACTCACTTCGGCTGTGGTTAACAGCGTACATGTAGAAGCTGTAGGAGGTTTAGATTTTATTGGGTGTGGAAGCTCCTGAAGCTGTTGCAGAAGCTCCTGAAGCTGTTCTTGTAGTTTGAGGATGTAGTTGGAAGATTTCGATGGTCGTAGGTTATTATGATGTTGGGATTGTTGTGATATTTGAAAAAAAAAGGGCCACTCCTTCTACTAGAAGAGTAGTATTACAATCCTGCCGAGGCAGCGCCCATCGCGCAGACTGGTCCGAACGTGTTTGACACGCTTCCGGTGGTCGTTGGCTGCGGCATCTTTGCAGAGATTATCTGTCGTTTTACCTTACGGTAATAAACACCAGTTTCTAGGCTGCTGCTGAGGAACTATATCTATTTTCCTAAAAGGAAAGCGTAAGTAGTAGCTTGATGTTGATCGATGTTTAAAATGTCATCAACCATGATGATGCGTTGCATTGATATATTGCAGCATGATTAGTCAGAAGTTGGGATTGGAGTGTGGGTCGTGGGGAGTATTGATTCTTCAAGAACTAAGTTTTTGTTCATTTACCAATTTATTTCAACTACAAGTTTAAGTGTACACTAGTAAAGGAGCACTAATTTTTGGAAATATGATTAAGTACCCTCACAAAAGTTCTCTCATCTGCGCGCAACACAGCTGCCGTTGTACATAGGAAAAGCTCTGTTCATCTCTTAAACCTTTTGGCAACTGTTGTAGTATATGCAGATGTAGTACACCCGTCCCAGCAAAATTTGAAACCCGGTTATTTTTTTTTCTCTCTTTCGCTCAGTTCAGTTTTACTACTTCGCGTGCTGAAGAAAGCAAAACGAAGATCACAGAACAGAGAGGCTCCATTCCCTTCTTCGTGGACGCCCTTCCAGACGTCTCCTCGACGGCTAAAGAATCCAATTCCTCAGGGGAAGCTGAAGCAGAGGACGCCGTATATCTTATTTATTGTTTCGTCCTGTCAGCACCAACAACTCGATAGAGCGTGAGTTGTTCTATCTATTGTTGGGGTCACGAAAATCTCAGCAGGGTCTTGAAGAAGAACATCAATCGAGATCATAGAATCTTTATATTATTCAGGGGCTTCGAAAAGCTGTGTGAATGTGAAAACTACGAAAAAGTACGTAAGTGAAAGAAATGGAGTAGGTGTAACTGTAAGTCCGTGACTTTTGATATTGGAGTTGTCTTGAAGAAACACGAGGCTGATTCGTGCTGCTTGTGGTATTAAAAAAATGGATTTGCTGTTCTATGTTGTACACAATTGTTTGTCGAAAAAATGATCGAGAAATCTCCTCTAAGTACAACCCAAAGAGAATCTCTTATCCGCTGTACGGCGTGCACAAACCTGTTGCGTTCCCTGCACCGGACGCGACCACCAATCCGATGATTAATCCGTACAAACCAAGAGCCTCAGCGAAAATAAGAATCAGGATCATACCGACAAAGAGTCGTGTCTGCTGTGCGTTGGCGCGTACACCTGCATCACCGACAATACCAATAGCCAAACCAGCTGCTAGGGAACTCATTCCGACCGTGAGGCCAGCACCGAGGTGGGCGAACCTGTCGTAATGATGAAAATGCTTTTGAGGTGGAGGTCATCTCATCATCGATATCGGAATGATGCTATGATGTACATGAGAACAGGACGCTCAGCGCATCCTGCATGTAAATGAGTCTTGTAGTTCTGGGACATGAATATGAATTTGAATACCCCTGGTAAGCGGAATATTTTGCTGGCTCGTTGAGTTTTTCGTTGATGATGACTGACGTGATCAAGCCGTAGATTCCCAAGACACCAGCCATGACTACTGGAATAATCGATTTCATCATCAGTTCAGGTCTGAGGACACCCATGCTCATGATTCCAACACCACTCTTAGCCGTACCATAGGCAGCACCGAGATCTGGGTTGATGTGGGTGGTGTTAGTGTTGAATGCTTAGGATGGCTGCATCGAGATCTGGGTTGATGTGGGTGGTGGTGGTGGTGGTGGGCGGGAGGAGGACGTTTAGTTGCTTGTTTAAGATTGGCTAGTTGGTTTCTTGAGAATTCGATGAAGTTCTACTTCTAAAATGATACATGCAGCATAGTGGAGAGCTCATTACTTGCAAAGACAATTGCTGATGTGACTCCCATGAAGCCAAAAAAGCTGCTGGTCGGATCGCAGGCGACGACGGTCATTTTGTTTTTTCGGAGACAAAGAGTCACCAAAAAGTGTTGCTTCTTGAAGGGTAGTTCTTGTGGGAGTGTTGCGTAACGCTGAAGCGTTTTGTCTGCGATTGCTCTCAAAAATTAGGTCTAGGTTAACGTTAATATTGTTATTGTTCCCCTAAGGTGAGAAAGCAGAGAAGATAAAAAAGGTCGTGAAGTCTTTGTTGCAAAAACAAAATGATGTTGAAATTGATTAGGAGATGATTGGCTTCAGTAATTGCACTTGGATTGATCGTGTCAAAAAATATGTCATAATGCGTGTTCATGAGTCATTGTTAAACACAAGAAGCTTCTGCTTTCCTCCTGCTTGTCAGCACAGTTCGTGTTCGGATTTATTGTTATTCTCTCTCCATATCAATGTGGCATCAACCAAAATTCTTCTCTCGAAATGCCACCCAATCCAGGTTCTTGTCGTGTCGTGTAAAAAAACAAAGACATCCGATAGATGCGCACTCTCCTCTCTGAGACCTTCCAGGACAAGCAAGACACCTTCGACTTCTTAGAAGGTAGTGGGTTCCGCGAACACAACAGGTTTATTTCCACTCCACCAAGACACAAGCTCAAGCCTCAGCCTGTGGATTAGGATCGATTATGGCGTGAGAAAAATGCATTGACGCCCACAAACAACAGTGGCAAAGCTTCAAGAAAATGAAAGAAGCTGCAAGACAGTCGCCTGATGCGTTCGGATTTCCGTCAAAGATTCTCACTTGCTCCTGCTCAGAAAAAAAAATGATCATGACAGAATTCATTATGAAAATCAAAACGACCATATTATTAATTCTGAGTCTACTTACAGTTACAAACCATGATAACCTAAAAGTCAATGGTCGTTGGATTTCCACTACCGCCGCCGCCTGCACAATCTGCAGCGGGATTAGTATCTGGAATGGCTCCGACTTTAGGCTTAGAAGTGCTAGCTGTATGAGCCATACTGGAAGGAGGTTTATGCGTAGCTACGGCATTAGGCGGAACTGGAGCAGGGCTACTACTTCTTGGAGCGTTGTAGTAACTAGTGCTAGGATTTGACGGATTTGATATGGCTGATGAATTTCGTCCTGCTGTCGCATCTGCAACCGAAACTGGAGCAGTTGAGGCCAAAGCTGACGAATTTCCTCCGGGAGAAGTGCTTGCAGCTCCAACAGTGCTTGCACCTGCTTTATCCCCATTTCCAGCATGTCCACCATTTTCACGTATAAAGGCTATCAAATCACCGCGTTCTTGCTGGTCCTTGATGCCGAGGAAAGCCATGCGCGTGCCAGGAATGTAACGCCGTGGATTGTAGACGGGAGATTAGAAGATGGAACGGTCCAAGAAGTTGTAAATATTGATTCTATTCTTGTTCTTCTTCATCTTGTTTATAACCCTTCAGCTTCAGCCATACTATTGAAACAAGTGCTTTTCTGACCACGTTATCTCGCTACTCCTGTTTGCATCTGTGTATTCGAAATCGGGCACTTGTCCCGCTCTCCGCCCAAACACTCCGAAGAGACAAGGACCTTGCTTGTTGATCCCTTCCTCGTGTAGGGTATGACACTGACCACACTTCAGCTTGAAAAGACGGGCTCCTCGTACCGCATCACCCTCAGGTATCTGCACATCGGGTTCTGCTCTGGGGCCAGGAGGATAAGCCGAATCGTTGGAGGAAAACAAACCGGAAAGGAAATTCATTTTTTATCGTTAGTCGTGACAGTGACTATGAGTGCGCCATATTAAAGGTGGTGAAATTGACGAAGATATTATATCAATAAATCCCTCACGCTCACCCTCTATCCCTATGCAACATGACATTATACGCGACTCCGAGTACTTATTTCAACCAGTCTGGTCTCATGACGGAAATACGTAGTCAATCACCATCCTTCTAGGTAAGGGCTTACGGAACAGGAACGCAGTGTTGTCGTTAGTTTCTCTTTCTCGCGTTGCGCTTTGTGTCAGCAGTTTTCAAAAAACTTCGCCTTTAGGGCTACAACTCTCTTTCATCATCTCTCGATCGCTCTTGCTTCTCTTCATCAACGCTGTCTGTCGTCCGGCAAGCATGACATCATACTTGAGTCGCATCTTCGCTTGTTTGAGATTCAAATTTTTCCCAGCCTAGGTTCATTAGCTTTAGAATTAGGATACAGATGAATAAGGGGTCGGTGGTTGGAGTTTGAGTACATTTAAGATGCGGGTGGGAAGCTCATGTTCTTTCTTTTCAGGTCAAACAAGTACTATCATGCGAGGACAAGGTTTAGGTTTTTGACAGCTCATGAGAGGAGTCATCTGAGCACGCCAAAGCAACATCACGCACCAGCAGCTTCAGCATTCAACTTCTCGTCAGAAGCCTTCTGGTCTTTAGCTTCCACGTCCTGGTCTTTAGCATCCGCGACCCTTTTTTTGATAAAGTCACGACATTGAGACAGCAAAAACAGATAGAACTGTCCATATTCGTCACCTTGTGAAGATGAAAGCTGAGGATCTTCAATGTTACAACTGACGTGCATAGGCATACCGAAAAATTGCGCTAACTGACTCGCCAAACTGCTTCCCAGACTGTCGACACAACCTAGAAGACAAGACGCGGGTTGTGGGAGGACGTCTTCGTTCATCAATGCAGAAGTGCTTCGTGTCTTATTTGGACGAGTGTCGTCTGATACAGATACTCCTGGTCCACCAGTAGATGTAGATCTAGATTCTTTCTCGTCTTCGTCCACTGTTGTTAGCCTCAACTTAGACGCGGTTGTTTTGCTTAAAAGATTGTCGACATCCACCTGGTCTTCGCTTGATGTTTCTTGTTCTACTGGTGGTATTACGGCTGGGCGTTGTTGCCTAGCATTCATCGGTGGCATCCCTACATGCAGATCTTCGAGTCCTCCGACTTCACTCACCGTGCTGATGTAGATGAAAAAGCTGTCCTTGAGGCACAGAAAATGAAACAGGATCTTCGTTTCATTGTCGGGTGCCAAAGCGACGAAGTTCTTCGCTTCCAACATGTTTTTCTACGTGTCCGTTTCGCGGAAAAATTATCTTCAAGTCAATCTGAGTGAATTTTTAGTTTTATCCTCGCTTCTAGTATTGTAAGAATCAACTCTCTCGTCTGCTCCTGACCAAAAATATGGATTTATGATTGACACAGAGGAGATTTTTGACAGTAGGATGTGATCGCGATCCCCGTTGATAATTCAAATTGTCAAGAAACAGATTGACATTGATGACTGCTCTGATCCTCATAGCCGCACAATTCGTAAGATTTGGCAGCTCGCATGGCATGAAGTGCATGGATCGCACGGAGCTAAAGGGAGCGCTTCTGGCGTCCCCTATGAATCTGCGCGCCATGCACTCCATGCACCATGCGTGCTATAAACTGCTCTGACCACTGTCATAGAAGTGTCTACAGCACAGACTCGTCGCATTCCAATTCTACAGATTCTTATTCGAGTCCTTGCTTTTGTCGAATAGATGGATCCTCTGGCGTCCCCAACTTGATCATTCTGAAACATGCTAGAAGCATTTGGCGAGACAGCCTTGTCTTCACGACCACGAACAACAAGAGAGCCAGACTCGCTCATGATACCATGATAGCTTTTACAAATCAACTTTAGTGTTAATGATAATGTTGCAAAGAAAATAAATTCGAAAAATGCATATAATCAGGAAATATCTGGGATAATTGGGTTCGACATTTCTCAGGTTGTCAATGTACCAGCTAGCACATCAAATTCTCTATTCCTCTTTCCAGAAGGAGGTGGTATATCCCGTAGAAGGCATCAAATTTTCTACTCCTCCACATCTTTCCAGAAGAAAAAGGTATATCCCGTAGGCAACCGGCATTTGATGTCACAGCGCTTCGAAGTCTGTAGCACGAATCCTGCACTCGCTGCCCAGGTGTGAGTGTTACCGCCTTTATCCGGACATTCCTCTTCTAACCGTTCGCACAGATCTTGCAAGGAATTAGAATCTAAGATATTAGCAAGAGTTTTTCTGCAATTCCTCTAAACAAGTAATATGACTTAGCACTAGGATATTCTAAAAATCTTCAGGAGGACGAAGGTCTTCACTACAATTTCAAAGTACAACAATAACTACTCATCATGAAGATGAGTGAATGAATGAACCCACTCCAGGGGTAAAAAAGACCACTACGCTACTACTTTCGTCTGCAACTACGTGCTTGTGAGACATCATCATCATCATCATCATAAACAAAGCCGCTTCATCCCTTTGGCTTTTCGTTGATGTCGCATCTTCAATCGCGTCATTCACCGCACCCGCCACGACTTCTTTGATAGCGTTGTCGTCGAAATGTGGCGCGTGCACAATCTCGATATCGTCTGGTGACAGTTCCTCTAACGATTCTGGCAAAGACTCTAGTAAAGCCTCCACTTTGTCTCCGGAACCGCTCTTGGTAGCAAACCCTTCGCCTTGGAAAGCGATACGTGCAAGATCCTTGTCTTTCAACGCGTCAGCGTTGCGGAGAGAGGAACAGGAAGGTCCTTGTTGAGTCGGCATTCTTTTGATTGTGAGGGATGAAACTTGTAGTTTTTTTTTTAGGAAGTCACTGTTCTTGGAGTTTGATGGAATTCCAATTTCTTCGTTCTCTTCAACAAACTCTACCGAAAGTTGTGGGGACCTTTGGTTCGGGTCCCTGTACTCAGTCGACTGAAAAACTATGCAAAGTAGTCACAACCTGATTTGAATTTGTAATCTTCATTCACAGTCGCTGGGTAGTTCCTGACGAAGACGATATAAAAAGTTTGAGTTTCAAGAATTTCGAACGAGCAAGGCAGACGCTATAATGTATAGATACGGTTCAACGTCAAGGCCAACGTCAGGGTTCTACAACTTAAAGATCTATATCATTTTCCCTGTTGATCATCGATCCTAAACAGGTTGTACAAAACGATCTGGATCTTGTTGAGGAACTACAATCAACCAGCAAGATCTTTCCAGGCGCTACTTTTTCAAATGATAATCCGCAGCGGTCGCCATCGACGAACACGAAATAAATTCCACTTGCAAGAGTGTAAGTCTACTTACCAGAATCTCCCAGGTCGACGAAGGTCTGACCTACTCACAACGTGCCGCAAAACGGTTGGCAAAGGCATAGCCAATCTATATGCCGTTCGGGTCGACGAAAGTCTGACCAACTTGTTGTCCAAAAGCAAACCTATGCTCTCAAAATGTATGCAGTTCCGCGAAGGCGTGAAAAAAATCTAGGATGTCAAATAAGATGGTCGCGTTTGCATACCGTCTTACTGCAAGATTATATCTCGGTGAAGGCCCCTGAGAACAACAATGAGGATATCAACAATCTATGATTGGGATGCAACTATGTCTAGCTTCTACGAGCTGCGCGAAGGCGTAGGCGTCAGCGAGTTCAACGTATTAATGTCAACAATATGGCTCAAATAGATCTGCAGTAAATAGATGTCAACGATGTTGATGTAGTTCTGGAGCGTAATCGCAAAGGAGAGCAGAGGAAAGAAAGATTTTGACGTTATTCAAAACAAGAGCATCGACATCACGCGGATCTTGTTGTTCTTGGCCTTGTTGAATCCAAGATCTTGGAGATTGGAAAGGAGCCTCTACTTGCTGAAAAAGGGTTGTTGGATGTGAGGTTTAATATGGGATCAATTTTATGGGAGTGGGATGATGAAGTGAGATCTTTTATGGGGACTAGTCTCGTTTCCGGAATCATGCTCATGGATCGAGTGGCTGTTGTTTTCTTTTAAGAGTTGCCTGAAGCAGAAGCTGATGAAGTTAATCCATCTTCTCCTCGTCATGGTATATCAGTCTATAATAATCATTCCTCCTGCCGTATTTGTAGCTGCAATAGTGGTGGTCTGGCCTAGTAAGTAATATCACAATTGCATCATGCTCCTGCTCCTCCTGTTTTTGAGCGGTCCTCTAGAAATCGTAGCAAGCTTTGTTGTTGTGATGTGTCACCTCGTCCGACGTAGACCCTTTGTGATTTTTGTTCTACACAACGTAGTTGGTAGTTGTGCCACCTCCAGTTCAAAATCTTCAAGATCTTCACCACGATCCCCCTTCCCGCTTCACCAAATGTTGTTGATCAAAACGCTCGCCTAACGCGTCGCCTGTAGGTGCTTCCTGGTTCTCTCGCTGCATGAGAAGGGTCTGTATGTTAGGAGAATCGTCCGTGAGAATTTCAGGTTGTGATACTTTAAGGTTTTTTTATGAAGAGTAGGGAGATCAATCTCAATTACAATCATTTTCTACTTACTTCGGGGAATGAGTTGAGTGACATCAAACAGGAAAGAAAGAGGCGCGATAGATTTAGATTAGCTTCTCCTAAGGAAGCACATCCGCAAGCGGAATGATCATGAAAAGTAAAGTTGCCATCGTAAAAATATCGAGAGGAAATACCTACTCACCCGCAAAAGTTGAAAGAAGTCTCAATCTCTCCCGGCGGAGGCTGATACTTTCGGAGCCACGTGACCGACTCCAGATCCCAGTCCTTTCAAGCAAAAGGCCGTGGCTTTGTACCTGGCAAAGACGGAAGAGTCAGGTATGTTTGTGGCATGAAAATAAGCATTGCTATCGTAATTGTTGGTCCTACTAGACGTAAACTGGGGAGCAGGAGTGATCATATGACAGCACTCGTACTCGAAGTCGAAGATGTAATACTCCTATATTCTCTTTCTCAACACCAGAGTAGAACAACAAAATCTCACTCTCCAAATAAAAAAATAATTACGACGCCCTTAAGGCAGTCTGCACTGAACTTTGTGCGAGATTAATTGTAATTGTAATTGTACTCTCAAAATAAAAAAATAATTACTCAGAAACCGCAGCTGTCATTGTTGACGCTGTTGAATATGACAAGCCACTTTTTGGCGGTCTTGTCCCATCGCAAGTCTGAAAATCTGGCGCAAACGCTCTCGGATCGCCTTCCTGGAGGGTGGAGCTGGAACACCGTACCATTGGACCCCATAGCCTCGGCGATTCCGCTACTAGCAGCTGCGGACCCGTTGCGTGAATGCTTCCACTCATTGAGAACAGAAGGGCGATAGGGGAATGCCGTTCTTCCTTTGTCTTTTTACTTAGGAACGACGTTCCCATATCTTCGCTCTTAATGAGTGGCGTCATACATTGTGATCTGCGACTCTTTCCAGGAGTTTCTGCAGACAATTAGAGGACTTCTATGCAGTATACCACCGGTGGAGCACCAGCACGTCTAACTAGGAAACAAAAATACATAAAAAGGAAGAAGTCCAACTGTTTAAAAAGAACTATAGTGGCCACGTTTATGTTAGGATCCGTTTATTCATCTAGGCGCCTCGAGTTCGTCCAACTTACTTCATCCCGTACTATACTTGCAAGGACCTTCATTCTTTCCTTTGGAAAGAAAACCAAACTGCTAAACCATGGAGTGAGAGTCCAAAACTGCGCTTGTATTTTATCAATAGGAAAGCAGAGCATCTTCTATATCGATAACGATATGCTTTGAAGTCCAGGACCATAACAAAAGCGAGGTCGTCGTGAAAGAGCTTCAACGTCTTTTGACCCTCTTGCTGTGGACTGAGATCTGGACAGGGTATTAGAGGTCAAAGCCATTCGCTTTTCGTTCCCTGTAATTGGTATAATTCGCTTTTTGTTCCCTAAGAAGGAGAGAACATTATCATCCAAATTATCCTAAGAACAAGGAGAGAACATTTTTATATATTAAATCCTAAGAAGAAGTAGAGAACAGCTCTTCCCTGTATTTATTATCCCAATGATCCTGAGATGAAGGAGAACGAGATAACAGGCCCTGCTATCGCCTTCGTGTTAAACAAGGAATGGGAAAAAGTATAAATCGGAATTCCCGAAAATCGGAATTTTTCGGAGAAACTGAAAGGATTGGGACGATGAGCCTTAACGGGAGATAGCAATGGTTCCACTTTAGAAACCACGGCACATCTCTCAGCGCGCTTCTGGGTACATATTTTAAGCAGCCCTCAATATCAAACTGGCAAAAAGTATGACGCCAAAACTATCTGTTGGCATCTCTTATCAAGTTTATACGTTTAAAAAAGGAAAGCATGAAGATCTTGGTCACGCTTGATCTCTACTTACTTCTTGCTAAGAAGCTTGATAATGTTGAAGCTAACAGATTTTGGCAGCTCCATAAAAAGCGACTTCTATTAGCTTCACGCTGTCACTACTGCGCATCAAATACGTATGCGTGAAGTGCGGTAAGATGAGCCAATTCTCTCCGCTTTTGGACGCAGTCCACCCGACAACCAGAACGTCGCACTTCTCTTGATGTGCCACGTCGCTGTTCTTGTTGCCAGGGAAGGAAAACGGCGGGTGCTGTCGCTTGGCTTAGAGAGAGAAGACTCAAGTTGTTTATAGAGAAGGTTAAGTATGCTTTTCCTACACGACCCAACATAACTGAAGCCCTCTTTCAAGATGAAAGACGTGCTGATAGCTGGGCCATCTTCCACTAGCATCTTTTTGACCTGTTCCGCAGAAAGATCGCTGATTTCCTCTGTCAGTGTCTTCCAATTTGGCTCCTTCTCGCACTCATCCGGAGCACGTCGCCCCAGCATCATGTGTCCTCGCAGCCGGGCGCACTGCGTCACGAGGGGCGGTGACTGGTGAATTAGACAGTATGCTGTCTTCAAGTACAAGTATTTTGTCACGTACATAACTAAGTAGACACTTCTATAAATATTAGACATACACAGGAGGAGCTTCCGAATACGTACCAGGCCGCAGCGGTGTTTCTTGACACGCTTAGCATACTTGCAAGGGTTTGGTTTAGTACGACCTAGTTCATCAGGTGCAGCCTTACATCCTTGGTTTGCATATTCGACGTTATTCCTTTTGTCAAATACGGATACTTCTCGAAGATGTTGAACGAAGCCGGATAGGCGCTACTAGTTCCGTCCTCTCTTCTTCGGGTAACGTTAGACTTCTGATGCTTTTGTTGCTCGTCCTCTCTTCTTCGCGGACCTTGAGCCTTCTGATGCTGATCCTTTTCTTGTTGAGACTTCTTTTGTTGTTGTGGTTGCGCTTCTTGTGCTTTTTCCCAGAAGTCTTGGAGACGTTGAAAAAGTTTTTTTACCTGCTCCGCAACCTCATCGAAAACCCCTTGATATTTATCCGGGTGAAGATGTAGCTGCAGCGTCCTGAGAGCTTTCTTCATCTTCTTCTCGTCCTTGCATTAGAGCCCAAAGCGATGCACTTGTTCTTTCTGGTCTGGTTTTCTGGTTTTGGTGGTAGCCTGAATTTATTGATCATAAGGGAAAACAAGAAGAGAACCCTCGTGATCAAATTCAGGTTACCACATACCGGAGCCACTCATTCTTGCTCTTGCATTCATGCATTTCTTCAGAATAAACAAAATCCAATCCAAGGGTGGAAAAAACGGTCGTGAAAACGAACGGTGGAATGGAGGATTGTTTGTACTAGAAAGAATCAGGTCGTGAAGTTGTGTATCTATAATCATCGCATTGAAGAAGAAGAACGGCCTTAATTGCACGCATCGGCTGAAAGCTCAGGTGTAGCGATTTGCAATACTTCGAGAAGCGTCTCCGCGGTGGGCTTTTTTGCTAGAACCACTTCAACTCGCCTCAGAAAAGCGTCCAGAATGCGCTGCAGATGATGGGCAGCGGCAGGGGCAGCCGATTGATGCCTCACGGGTTGGTTTGGCTGCATCAGAGAAGCGCCCAGACGGGCAGGGGCAGTCGATTGATGCCTCACGGGAGCCTGAGATTCACGCCTCCTTTGGCTCCTCTCTCTTGGTGCGCGTCGGCAGGGTGCCACCGAAGGAAGACGGTGAGAGTGACTGGGGGTGTTCACCATCCTCGCGAAATTGAAACAATTTATCTTGATGTTTTCAAATTAAATACAACTTAATAAATAAAAATATTTCTTCGAAAGACTAAAATATTAACCGGGAAGTTGTATCAAAGTAACTAAAAGTACTAGTAGGCTAAATAAATTTCGATTTCCTTGCTTCTTTTAAGAGTTTGAATTATTTCTTCAACCAATGGTACTTACAGCAGCTAGTGCAAGCTGCATGAAGGGTCCCTTGTCCAGTTACCCGTACACAAGCACAATTCTTCTCGCAGATCTGCAATGCACGAGAAGATCTTTCTTTGACACGGTCTTATTTGAGCAGTGCGCATGTGCAAGAAGGAGATTCCTTCTTGACGTTGAGTTCGTGGAGTTGTGCGGATAATATTATCAACCAGACATCAGGGTCGTGAACACATTTTTTATCTAGAGGACCACTGCACACGACTTCTTGCCAGCAGCACATCCACATCTTTTTGGACATCCTATCCCTATCGCAGAAGTACGAACTTTCAAGTACTATAAAAAACTTAATCCACATGCCAGACACATGATCATTATAGACAGTTGGGGATCATTTCGACTTCCTCGAAATCACGGTTTGCTGGTCAACTCCTTTGCACGAGTAAAATTGCGATAAAATAAAACCTCAGATGATCTCATGCTTGATGAACGTGGTGTAGTGGTAGTGGTAGTGAAAACCGAAAAGGGAAAACCGAATCAATAGGGAAAAACAAAACATCAAGTACTAGTTGTACTAATTTTTATAGGTTGAAGTAGTTGGCCATGTATTCAATAAACTGAAATAAGCAAGTAACTGATCAGAATAACCAAGATACTGATGAGAAGGAAGAGTAGCCTTGATGTCAACGTTACCTCCCTTATTTCCTTAGATCATGCTAGCCTATGCTAGCCCTAAACCCTAAGGAGCCACCTTCTTCTCCTGTAGGTTTTTGGTCGAGCCACTTCCGCCTAACAGCTTCGCAATACCCCCAAACAAACTCGCAGGTAACCCGCCGCCCCCGCGGTCAGCTGCATTAGCGCACAGAGCCCTTCTTTCAGCCAACTCCAGAGCGGTCTCATTGTTCTTATCGCGGATAGATGGGTCTACTGTGCTAGAATTACTTGATCTTGAAGAAGACGACGAGCTGCCAAAGTCATGTTTTAGAAGGAATTCAACAACATCCCGATGTCCATTCACTACAGCCCAGTGGAGTGGGGTGCGGCCAAAATCATCGAGAGCATTTGGATTGAAGCCAGCCCCCGCACCTTTACAACCAGCACGTCTTGTCAGGTAATCTAGGACCTTGTTTCCACATCCTGCACGAGCAGCAATATGGAGGAAAGTTGTAGTTGAGGCATAATGTTGTGTTCTTGTCGCTGTTGGTGGAGAGGACGATGCAAATGCTGTCAAGATTCTCTCCACGGAACAAATCTGAGCCTTCTTGTTGTGCAAGTGTTTGTTCTTTGCGGCGTTGGAGCCCTTGGTTTGTTTCGGCCCTGGTGGTGGGTGTCGTTCTCCTCCTTCTCCGCCACCACCAGCAAGATCCTCGCATATAAACCTTAGCATCTCCAAAGAACCAGGGTTCCTCTGCAGAGTGAGAATCAACAATCGACGGAGAAAATCGGAAGTATCAACGAGAGGCTTTTGAGGAGATGTTCTTATGGACGTGGAGCGATCATCTAGTACAGATGATGCCTCGTGTATCGTTCTCGCAAAGGCTATTTGTCCACGCCCAATAGCTAGCCGTAAGAGGATTTTTCTGTACTGATTATATTCTTCACGATCTTTCTTGATGTCACTCGACGTTGTGTCGTCTTGTAAAGCCGTTTTTCTGAGCAGATATCGTAGAAGGTTTTGTGCAAGGTCATGCGGTCCCATCCGAACCTTTTTTATTAGTCTCTCAGCAAGGCGAAGTGACGCGGGTCGTGGTCCCGCATCGTCTGCTCCGGGTGAGGTAAATGGCTTTTGGATACTGGCATCACTTGCCTTCCGGGTCTCAGGCTTTTTAAAAGTGCTGCCGGAACCGGCAGTAGACTCAGCTTTAGGCTTACCTGACGTTGCGGCGCCGTTAAAAATATTCAATCTCGACTCAAAATCCCCCACATGTGCCGCTAGAAACGCAGCATAATCCTTCAATCGCGGACGACTTAGCAGGTTCGCAACAGCAAAGACAGTGTCTTGCAAGTGTCTGCCTTCTTGAACTCCTACAAGAGGACTTGCTCTTTCGTGTTTGTCTTCTACTTTAGACCAGCTTCCGCCATTCTTCATGTCACTACCTTCAGAGCTAAGCGTCTCAGCAAGCTTCGTGCATACTCTCACAGCTGCTAAAGAATCGCCACCCAAATCGTAAAAATCCAAGGACTTGTTCCATGACTTTGAATCTCTAAAATCTGATGAATTGCCTTCGCCTCCAAGGAATCCACCAAAACCAATCTCAGCTTCCCATACCTCCAATACAGCATAAGCAATTTTGTCACGACGATCGACCACGTAGCCTGTGCTTCCGCTTGATGTTCTGTGAACATCTTCTATAACATCTTCTGAATCTGAGTCCTCTGAAGTCGTGGACGAGCTTGCTGATGCCGATGAATGGCCATGACCTCGATCATGAGAAACTCTTCTATCAAATTCTCCGTTCCAATACCTCCCTTTCAAGGCATTCCTATCTACTTTTCCCGTCGCCGTTTTAGGCAGCTCCTCAGGCTCTTGTCCTTCTCCATCGACATCCTTGAGACTGAGAAAGCAGAACTTAGACGGAACCATGTTTCCTACTAACTGCGGTCTGCAGACTACGTCTCGCAACGTTTTGGATAGGATGTCTTCCAAAAGACCGGGGACTTCTGAGGTAGATGTTGAACCTCTAGTGGAAGATGAAAGTCGAATGCTTTTCTTCGGAACCACAAACGCAACCAATCGAAGCTTTTGATTCGTTCCTGCTGTAGTGTGATCTTGAGAAAAAGTATCTTTTGTCGAGGAAGCCTGTGTTGAGGAGTCTTCCCCTCTGCAGGAAGAACCGGCGGGTTCGGATAATGCCAAAACAGCTACTTCTGTTACCAATTCCGACGCAGCAGCAAGGCAACTTTCGATTTCACCCAGTTCGATTCTTTGACCTCGAATCTTCACTTGATCGTCTTTGCGACCAAGGAGACGTAAAACTGGAGGTTCTTGTCTCTGGTCGTGTTGAGACGTGCTTCTGCTTGCGAAGATATCCAGATTGTCCTCATGTTTGCCTTTGTCGTCGCCTCGCTTAAATATATCCTTAATGTTATGTTGGAGGTTCTCCTTTTCTATCTTCACTAAATCCCCAGTCAGAAAATATCGCTTTCCGGTCTCAGGGCAGCAAAAAAATCGCTCGCGACTCAGTTCCGGTCGGTTCAGATAGCCTAGACCGACTAATGGCCCGCAGAGACCCAGCTCATACTCTTGATGTCTAAGATGATCTTGACCTTCGGAGGCTTGATCTTCGGAGGCTTGACCTTTCCTGCTCAAAGTTGTATCTTCGCCCTGGCGCTTGTCCTCGTGGTACGAGGATACTGAAAAAACATCCCCTACTAGAACTAGTTGTCCACTTGCAGGAGTTTGAGTCAACGCCCTTCCCAGAGAAAGATGGTCACCAGGAACTTCCACATCAATCTCGTGAAACATTTGGTAAACGCAACATTCCGTCACGCCGTAGGTGTTGGCTAACCTTATTTTCCTATGCGCTTCATCTCCTTCTACTGCTCTATCTCCCCTTATTTTCCTATGCGCTTCATCTCCTTCGACTGCTCTATCTCCCCTTATTTTCCTATGCGCTTCATCTCCTTCTACTGCTCTATCTCCAGGATCCACCCCCTTGACTTTCTTCTTTGTTCCGCTCTGTGACTTTCTCCTTTGTTCCGCCACAGCACGTACTTGTTCTGGCCGCATTGGCTCGCCTCCTAGAGCTACGAGTTCAAGAGACTTCGGAAACTCTTGACCAAGAGGCCCATCTACTCCATTGTTCCAGCTTAGCAACAACTCTCCAAAAATCGTTGGCGTGGTCAGGATATGGGTTACTTTGGAACCTAGAGCCGTATTGGTAGTTGTCTTGGTGGAACCGTTCCCCACATTGTCAAACGCGTTCCCCACGTTCGTATTCGCATCTTCTGGTAAACATACCCTTCCACGAGCAAAAAGCACTGTCGCCACAATGTCACCCAAATGGGGATCGAAGGATGGTGGTGAGGCAACGAGGACAGTCGAATCTGCAGTGATGTTGTGAGCGTGGTTCTTGGCTTCGCAATAGGTAAAAAGATTCCCATCTGTGCAGACACATCCCTTCGGTCGTCCAGTACTGCCAGAGGTGAAAAAGATGTGGGAAATTTTCTCATGTTGTTGCGAAGTTGTAGAAGATGGAGCCAGGTAACAGGGACCAGGCTCTTGATTCTCTCCGACTATTGATGCGGGCCGTGCTCTTTCTGATGTTCGGGCTTCCGGTTTCCGTCCTCTTTGTCTTCTTGGATCCAATAAAAATATATCTTCGGTCGCAACATTGACAACTCGAGGCCGAGTCGCAGTCACAGACATCATGGTACCTTTAGTACATGATTCATTTGCTCCAACATTTCCACTTCCTTCCCCACCAGACCTACAGCAACTTGCCAACAATCCATCCACTCGCTTCCTCTCCCCTTCATCATCAACGAATACCAAGTCGGGTTCGCAGTCTTCCAACGCTAGACGAAGTCGCTCGTCGGGTTCCGCACACGAGAGCACGACCAAGACAGCACCGACACCTAAAATCCCGAAGTGCAAGGCGGGGAAGAGATCGTAACGCTTTTTCAGGACCACGCAGATAACTGATTGCTTGAATTTTTCACGGATCTCAGTTCGGGAGATGCCGGGAAGCGGAATGTAGGAGTTTCTGAGATTACGGAATAAGGTGCTGGTGTCGAAATCGGTTTTCTTCTTGTCCGCCAGCGTTGACGACGGACCATTGGCGACCTGATGACTATCCGATGAGGTCGACGGCGTAGGCAACGATGATGCCGCCAGTGTAGATGCATCGTCAACATCTTCAAGCGACGCGAATATTTCTTGGTGTTTCGCCAGCGCTTCAGAAAGATGTTCCTTCACGTCCTGAATCTGCACCGCTAACTCAGCATACGATGTATCAGCATGGCGTTTAGCGGAGAAGGACGTAACGGCCACGCGCTTCTGCAGTTCTTCACAACGCTCGACTCCGTCGAGGAACGCCTCGATCAATCCTACAAAAGAGGACATCCTCTTCGTAGAGCTAGTAGTCTATGGAGAGGGACGAGGTCTACAATAAAGAGAAGACATCTTATATCTTGCCACTTTTTGTCATTCAAGGTTAAAAATAAGCAGACAGCTATGGATGAGTTACTGTCTCCGTCACCTCGACCCCGCCCATACAGGTTTGAGAGCGTTTTCACGTTTTTCTTTCAATTTCCCTATTTTTCAATAAGTAGATTTTACGCCATTTTGTAGATCTATCTGAAGATAGGTTCAACTCTACGTGTGGGGTGTGTTGTCCAGGAGCGATTCACGATCTTAATCTTCTTCGATGCGTCATGATCAGAGCTTCAAGTTCATCTATCTTTTCTCAAATGAATGACAAAGAGACCTTCCGCTTTCTCCTTGTTATTTCAGACCTTTGCACTTTCGTTGATGGGGTCTTCGACTCGTCCACCGTTACTACATCTTTCCTACTTTCTCCACTTCCTATTTCCCAAGGACGTCCTCCGCGCCTCACTAGCAGTAGATCCACACCACGAAAAGAGGAGAGGTGAATGAGGTTGTGCTTTCAAACCACCGTGGTACTGTGTTATTCTTCAGCAACTAGACGTGATTTCACTTTGTTCAGAAGAAGTGTCATCAATGACTATCTGTTCGACGTGGCTAAATTGAGTAGTGGATTTTTGGGTTCTTGAGTGTCCTGTGTTCATGGTGACTGGCCAGAATGTGAACATGATGTGTCCTCCTTCATCTCATTTCAACAAATGCTAAACAAAATCATCTGCAAACCTTTACATTGCTTTACGGGTACGCTAACGCTACTCCCCTTTATTCGTTTAATAAGATCATCCGTTTGAACAAGTTGATCCGGGTGCATAAAAACTCTAAGAGATACTACGGTGAAAGAAAGTGAATTCGAAAATCTTTTATGAGAATCTATCCTTGGTCTTGGAGGTCAGAGCAAATAATCAAGAATCTTCGTAGTTGAGAGAATCTAAACTCTTGTTGTTGTACTTGTGGTACACAAATTGAGAGATCAAAATCGATTCAGACAGCGACGGGAACGGGATTATACTAACTTCAGCAGGAAAGGATCGATCAGACCTAGATCCTGAACAACGGGAACTTCTACAACTTGTAATTCTACAGACATACATCCTGTAACAAGCATTGTAATGTAAAAATAAACTTAATTCTGTAGGCAAGCGTTTGTCAGCTTCTACTTCCAGAAGCATTTGGCGATTGTCCACGGGATAAAAGCCAACCAGCCGAGTCCCTTATCGATGTACTTCGTGTGCTCACCTGAGGTTCTGGGGATTGATCCTAATGTAGATGGGTTGTGGGGATTGATGATAATGTAGATGGGTTGTGGGGATTGATCCTAATGTAGATGGGATGTTGTAGTTCCGTGTGTTTGTTTTCATCGTCGTTCTATGTAAAAGAGCAAGAGAGATCACACAAAAGTAGAATGGTGACGTAGTGACATCAAAGAGAACTGGTGAAGTAGATACATAATAGGTACAAAGAAGTAGAAGGCTACAAGTACAAACGTATTTCTGATCATAACCTTCTGCTTGTCCTTCAACCAATCATGTACAACTGAATCCATCGAGGCTAGTGACAAGTACCACCCGGGCAGCAGCACTGAATCGGGAGAAGTGCGATGTAGACTGCGCAACTGAGTGCTGTGACTGCGAGGCCTATCGTTCCGAACAAAAACGCGAAAAACAAGCACCACTTCGGCTTTCCCTTCTTCTCTTCCTCGAAATGCTCTCCTTCTTTCAGGATCTGGACTAGGTATTAGAAACGAGAGGTTGTGGTGTTGATGATCTTGATGATGCAGCTGTGAAAGTTCTTATTTCTGATTCATTTGTTTCCATTTCTTCGAGGTGGTCGAGCCATCTTACGGCAAGGACGAAGTTCGCCTCAGGAGCATATCTTTGTAGTAAAAACCTAGCAAGAAAAAACAAAGAAGATGAACACGTCACTCACAGGACCTACGCAGAGCCATAATTGTATGAAGTTTCTGAAAGTGTCAATCCGATGTTGCCACATGACACTTGCACAAACTCTTCTGTGTCAATGGTTCCTTCAGCCGCCTTCGTTGGCAGCCCACTTTCGAGATCGACCTCTTCCACGGCTTCTGATGTTTAAGGTGACAATGTTCAGAGTGTAGCGTGTGAATGTCATCCTCATCTGCGTCACGACTCTCTTTCCGAAAAGCAAAAGTTAAAGTTTTTCAAACTACCTTGTCCACCTCCATGTTCATAGAAAATGTTCCTTAAACTTAGCGTTAGTACCTACTACTTCTGCCTGCATCGCATCCTGGGCAGGAGCGCCCAGACTCTCCGGGCCTTGTATCATTCTTAAACTTCTGCTATTTGGTACCTCTCAGTTGCCTCTATTCGTTGTTTCTCATCGGTTTGGTATGATCATGAATTTCAAGTTTAACTGTTGATGTAGCTCTTTCATTTGATGGTGGATTCATCTGATGTAGCCCTTTCGGTTTAGCATCTTTCTCAACAAAACGAACAGCGCGCGTGGACATCGACGTCGAAACCTCTATCTTTCTTTGTCTCTCTGTCCATCCCTCATCTCTTTCGTCACTCTACAATCGTCCTCTCACTCGCCCAAATACACCTTTCTTGGTTACCTACATTAGGACGCCTTCATCGACTGTCTCAATTCTAGTCAAGGCACGCGCCGTCCGCGCAGGATTATAGTCTGCGACAAAAATACCAACTCAAAGACGACATCAATCTTCGAGGTGCGCGTGCGAATAGGGAAAGTCAATTGCTTGGGCACGAGATAGAAAGCATCATTGTAGTGTTTCTTTCTTCTCATCCACAGGACGAGCAAGATGTGTTTCTATCCGCAGAAGTACACACACACACACAACTGTGAGTGAGAATGTCTATGTCACAAGTTGGAAAATGAAAGCTAGAAGGGCGAAAAGGATGAACAAGATTAACAGGATTCATTGATAGTAATACAGCGGTCATGCCCGCTTGGATGCAGGTGTGTTTCCTAAACAGCGAGTCGCGAAAAAATAGGCACAAAATGGACCTGCTACATATGCACATGCAGGTATGAGTCTTCTCTTGAAAAAAGCGATCGTGCTAGGACTAGGCCACCACGACGAACTTGAAGTTGTAGTTGTTGAAGCTGTGCTAGAACTGCTCGACAAAATAAACTTGAATTCTGGGAAGCCCATGTAATTACAAAAGCTGTGCGCAAGTACCACACCCGGCAACGAATTTGTCAGATGCAGAAGGTAATTGCTCAAGATTCCAAAGATTGATGTGTAGCCTAGCTGGAAAATAGTCTGTAGCAAGACTAGACGGAAAATTCGGAACTTCGTTTCACGCGGGACTAGGTCTGCAGAAGGAGGTGGCGTTCTTGGAGAGGGTGATGCTGATTTTGGTGAAGGCAAGGAGGAAGGTGGGCTCTTGTTCTCAGCTGATTTTGATGTAGATGTAGTGCCCTTTATTCTTGCTCTAGTAGTTGTATTTTTACCTGTTTGTTCTGTAGCGCTCCTACTGGAGCTAGTGTCGCCTGAGTCTTCATCTTCAACTAGTACGTCTTGGTCTTGTCGGACAAGGACTACATTATCATCCTCTTGAAGATGCTCGAGAAGTCGTGTATACGCCACCCTGTCCACCCTATCGCAGTATGCGTTATACCCGTGATGCACGTGCGCAAAGGCGAACAGCAGAGGCGAAAAAAGTAGTATTCGATGAATGCTGTTCTTGCTCGTGTTAAAATTTCCCAAGAGCAAGAGTCGTGTTGCGCATACTCTGTAAACTATTTCCTCAAACAGTGGGGCAAAAACGAGATCTCTCATTCGTGTTGACGAGATGAAATCCGAGATCGTTTTTGATAAGGCAGAGACGAGATTCTTGACTCCATCAAAGAGACGAGGCAGAAACTTGCTAATGTTCATATAGTTGTCTTTGAATGATGTGGTCGTGCTTCTTGCTAACACGAAATATGGAACAAGCACCTTCTGGATCATTTGGCTCGTGTGGTGAGAGTAGCTCATGTACGGCTGTATAGTTGTTGTAGCAAGTAGGCTGCCATTGCTCTCCTCTGACAATGCTACAGCTTCTTCCACTAGTGGCCCCAGAAACAACAACGCCACAGTGAGCAAACATCCCAAAGCTGGTCCCGGATCTGGCTGCAAGCCAAAGAGAGACAGCGGAGTTTTCTTGAGAAGTTGCAGTTGTGTGCGTGAGGCATGTTGTTCTGAGTGTGAAGAAACATTACTACCTCCAAAAGTTCTTGTTGCCACAGCATAGAGCGTCGCGAGTGACAAGACCGAGCTCACTGCGCCTGATATGACTCGGCGTTTTACCACTGCAGGATTGTTGCGGTCTTGCTGTCTAGAAGTAGTAGCCGAACTAGACGAAGATGATGACGAAGTAGATGATGCTCTAGGCTGGAAGATATACAAATTCAACACGAATCCCGCACTCACACCGAAAGCTGCAAGCGGATAAAAGTATTGGCTATGTTAGAAATAGAGGAGGGTCATTATTTCAATAAGAATTGAGAAGGTCGTAAGGACTTTATCGTTCGAAGCGCATAATGAGGCTAGGTACGAGCAACGATTTGAATCTGTATCACAGAAGATCTCTCATCAATCTCTTACTGCTCTTACTACCCGTAACTAAAACCACAGCCACCTCCTCCACTCTTTGACGCTCCTGCACTTGCACTACCACCCTGCGAAGAGCCACGTGCAAGCCCAAATGGGTTGGAAAACCGATTCCGGAAGGCTCGACGAAGTAGACCGTCTACCCTGGAAAAAGTTTCGAGAATCTCATCGCTATCATGCGTCAACACCGGAAAAAAGGTGCTGCTTTCTGCTGGGTTACCGGAGGACATGTTGGGCAGTCGTACTCGTAATTGCTGCGCTGATGGCGACGCCCCTCAGAATATTTTTGCGTTCGCCGTCATGTTGATTTTGGGTCAGTGACGAAGATGTTCATGTGATCACAGGAAAAGGTATTCAAACATTGGACTCTAAATGTGCTCCAACCGCTCCTACTTTTGCCTCATTTTACGACTTCATGCTGTTGTCCTTGTCTTTTCCACGGTGATGAATGTCCAGTCGCCCTTCAACAGCGGAGGTAGAAGTAGTTGAACACTTTTTTATTTACAAAGCACCATGCTTCAAGATTTGGAGCAAGATGAAGTAGCCCAGGCGGACATGAAAAATATGGTGTTCATTTTTGAGAAAAGTTGATTGTTTTTCCCGTTTTGTGACAATCATTCGCTAAATAGATAGAGACTTGGGGCGCAAGGCTCTCATCTAGTACCAACATCAAGTTCCCCATATAAATGCAATGTTGATCAGGTCTTATTTGGTAAAATGTTTGTGTAAGCAGGAAATCTAAATCAAATATGTCAACTTCTGATCCAGTCTTGAACTTCAACTCAACAGAAAGACAAGCTTATCTTCGTCCGTACCGTGCTCTAGCGTGCACCTTAGGTGGTAGGTCCTTTCGTGTTACAGCTTCTGGTATATCTAGTGCAAGTACGACATCCCCTACAGGCTCAAATGCTAACAAATGGCGAAAATTCGTATGTAATACAGTCGCGGTAGGAGGGCTAGAGGTTGCTTTTGCGGCACTGTTGGTTTTTTTGCCAGTGCTAGTGCTGCTCTCTATTACTCCTGTGGTCGAGGTTTCCTTCTCGTTCTCCTTGTCCGCCTTTCCCTCACTAATTCGTCGTCGCTTGTTGTTGGCACTGCTGGAAGATGAATCTCCGCCGTCGCTTTTCACAGGTGAGTTGCTAGGTTCGCTCGGCGTTCTAGTGGATGCTGGTGAGCCGTCGTTGTTCATGCCTGCTGGCGCGGACCCGTTGTCCTCGATTTCGTGGTCTTCATCCTGTTGATCTACTGGATCTGACTCACCTGTTGCAAGATCGATTTTGAAAAGGCTACCGCTACCTCCCCACACCAACACGGTCATAGAGGAAGAAGCGGCTCTAGATGCCTCTTGGTCTGGCTCTCGTGGTGCTTCTTTGGTAATGCTCGAGGAACAAGAGGTAGAGGATGTTGATGTAGAATTATCTGCTGTCATGGAAGATGCTGATTTTTCCTTCATCGGTGCAGCTGCTTTACTCGAGGAAAAGATCGCACCACTAATGTCTAAAACTGACAATGGCGGCAGAGTTCCACTACGGACCAAAGTCAAGGCATCTAAGTCGTAGCCTACGTATTCTCCACTCGATCCAACCGCGAAAACGACGTTCTTCGACGGATGAAAACAGCACGCCATGACAGTGCCACCCACTGCTGGCACTCTGCAGTGTTCCCGCAGTGTGTCTAGGTTGAAGATTCTGAGACTGGCGCACCCGATTTCTCCAACTGCTAGCCATTCCCGTGCACCGGAGAAAAAATGGACTGGACGAGTGAGAGTCCATTCGGCTAGTTGCTCTGCTCTTGCTTCGTCGTGGTCGTTTTCCTCCATGTCCTCATCTTCTCCATCAACATCCTTTGAGGATGCATGAGCACTAGCACTTGATCCGAGTTGCACCAATTGCACACGATTACCTGCACCCACAGCAAGCAACGATTCCGTGAGGAATTTCAGCGTGGATGCCCCTCCTCCAGATGACTTCTGCGACAGCAGCTTCTTCGCCTGCAAATGCATGCTGACTTCAATATCCGCTAAATCGAGGTCGAACACGCGTGTGCTCTTCGTGTTAGCTAAAGCCACGAAGCGGGTTGAGGTGGCACAAGCGGTCAGCTGGCGGGACGAATCCTATTGTTGTTGGTGCAGTAGTAGTTTTTCATAGAATTATAGGAATACGATGTCTTAGCCTTAGGTTGTTGGTGTAGTAGTTTTTCATAGAATCATTATAGGAATAGGATGTCTTAGGTCTATAATAGTCTCAGAACAGCCAATCGCGTTTGCGACATGAAAGATTGATAACAACAAGCTACATCCGATTGGTCTTAGTAGATCGCAGCAGGAAACCATAGCCAGACAAGTGAACAAGGAAAAATAGCAATACCTCCAACGCGAGCTGGTAAATTTTCGTAGGCTTAGCGCTATCCCGATTCGGCTGCTTTCTCTGTCTCTTGAGGCTCAAAGCGGAAGCGGATGGACGATAGTCAATACTTCTAGAGCAATCTACTTCCACCATTTCTTCTGACAGGGACTGGGACAGATCTGAGTAATCCAAGTGCCAGAGATCCGCTTTTGCGGTTTTTGCGTCTGCGTGAAGGACTAGAGACGAATTCAGTTCGCTGTTGTGTCCAGAAACTGCGACGTTCTTTCGCTTGTAGTGGGCGAACGGACCCGCAATGCGACGAGTGGTTGTTCCGTGACTAAGATACAAACCTCCATCAAGTCCACCGTAGAGAAGGCAAACTTCAGCTGCTGTGGTACAACTATCAGTTGTACTGTTACTAGTGGTCTTTGCAGAAGTTGAAGATGAGGTCTCCAAGTAGTAATTCCTCAACAGCTCTCTTCTATCTCCGAGTTCCACCATCGCTGCAATGGAATAGCAATCGTGAGGATGATGAGCGTTTCCGATGACGAATTGGTCGTCGTGATTCAGGTGATACATTTGCACTTTCCCATCGAATCCGCCAGACACCAGTGTTTTCCTAGAAAACATCAACGTCTGTACTTCAGATTTGTGTCGATTGTGGAAGACTTGCATCTGCACGCACTGTCTGGCATCGAAAATTCTAACGTGGCCAAGGCTGTCGCCAGCAGCAATCCGGAATCCGTCGATAGTAGCGAGTTGCCAAATCATAGCTTGCGAAAACATTGCAGCATGGGCGTTCTCGTTTGAGGAATGGGATTTCTTCTTGCTGTCACCTGAAGAGTTGGACGAGCAGGTCGGAGGCTGTAATATAATTCAAAAAAAATACAAGTATTCTACAACAACAAAGGGCTTCATACCCACTACAACCGTATCTCACAACTGCAAGTACTAATCCTCCCGTACTAGGTACCTTCTCTAGCTTTCTTGGTCAATCCTCCAGTTGTGGCGTCTTCTCCAGTGCAAATCCGCATCAATCCGGCACTTACGTATTTCGCATTCGCATTACTCCGCGTCCACTTTGTGATCTTTCCCACTGCGTCTCCAACACATACCGTTGCACATGGATCGACAGATCCAGACTTGGGAGAAGCTGTGCTGGAAGAGAAAACGCAGTGAGACAAGGCTCTGATGCGTTGCTCCGCTGACGTGGATCCCAGTGCTTGCTGTCCATTGAGAGACTGCTTGAGGACCAAATCACCCATCATTTCATCGCGTTCGAAGACCTGGAAGTTTTTTCTTTTTGAATAAATAAACCCCTCTAACTTATTTAGCGTAAGGTCTAGAGACAAGGTGGAAAAGAACATAAAATTGATCACCTTCAAGAAGCATCCATCCGTCGTCCGTCGTCGAAAGCAAAAATAAAACCTACTTAAATCTAAATGTCTAAGCACCTTCAAGCATCCATCGTCCGTCGTCAGGAGAATCGTGTTTCCAACGCATGAAAGAGACCACACGCCTCCGCCATACGATGAGGACGAAAACACCTCTTTTCCTGTATCCACGTCCATGCAGTAGAACGTTTCGCCCATACCTGCTACGATCAGTAGGTAGTCATTCCTTTCCTCCGTGGTTCTTGGTGAAGTGGGGATTGCAGGTGTAAACGCGGTGGTTGTGGAGGACTTAGAAGATGAGTCGTTCTTTGCATCAATTTCCTTCTTGTTCTTATCGCTTTCGTTAGCATCCGCTTGTTGTTGTTGTTGTTCCCCTTTCTTCTTCTCGTCATCGTCACTATCATCATCAGACGATGAGTCCGAGTCGCTGGCTGCAGCAGACGCTGCTGCTGTACGATTGACAGATCCAGATGCATCCTTCGCCATCCATGCCAAGCACCGCGTAGCATGCTTCACAGTGAGTCCACTAGGCACGTAGATGAGATTTCGAGTGTGACCAAAACGGTCTAGGATTTCTACGACGCCATTGGCACGTCCAACTGCGATTTTGCTGCCATCAGGACAGATCGACATGCCCTCCACACTGGAGGCCGAAGCCTCCACGCTCCGAACAGCGAGAACCGTAGAAGCGCTCATTGGAGCAGGCATTTTTTCAGGACAAGTTCAATAGGATTAGGCTTAGGAGGTTTAGGACTAAGTTCTTAATGTTAATGTTGGCAGGAGGTTGTCATATAATTTGTGCATAGGCAATGCGATATCAGTGCTATAGATATGGATAGAATTCTTTTTGCATGATTATGATAAATATTCTTCTTATCCATATTTGTCCTGCTTTGCTTCCCGTGTTCCTGTGTGCTTATGACACCAGTAAAGGCGATAAAAAATCATGGTGTTGCTCGGAATGATCTTTTCACAGGTGGTAGGAAGATCTTTTTCGACGATGATCTTCTCAAAAGTGGTAGGAAGACCGAAGTGATAGATCGTTGTCCAAATGTACGATCTCTTTTTTTTCCACGTGCGAGTGAGACCTAGTTGTAAGGATCGAAAGTCGCGTCCCATGTGAGTAATTGCCGCTATAGTTGTGATCTATGTGATTCTAGTTCTTCTCCTCTAGATCTGCGTCTTCTCAGAGAAGGAACAAGTACGCGGTGCCCGGCAGCAACTTCAGCTCGCTTTTGGCCTGCTTGTAGACGTGTTGAAAGAAGATGCCCTCGTGAGACATCATCATCTAGTTGAGGTACTATCTTTTTCTCCAGATGAGGTACTACTTTTTTCTCGACCCACCCACCTTTTTCTTCATGCCAAAACAACAACAAAAATCATTCAGATTCTTTCGAAAACAACAAAATGACAAAAACGAGAGTGAAGTAGAATCCACTAGCGCCTTCTTTCGTCCTACAGTGGATCCGTTTCCTCTCTAGCTCCATCCAAGAACTGTGCATAACTTCTTTACAGGCCCACAAGGACCAGAAATCCACACACGAGCGGATACAGACACTGACCCCTTCGCAACAGTGGATCCCCAGATGCACAATCGGTAGGGAATCGATAGTGCCTTCATTTTGGTAGATCTGGCTTCAGGATCTTGTGGTCTTACGTCTTGATCTATAAACTCCATTTAATAAGCATAAGCTTTGAAGCGGAGAGAACAGTGCCTTCATTATGAGTGAAGACTAGTACACCTAGAGGTAAAAGTAAGTAATTGATCTTCTTGCTCAAGTTCATGAACGCGGAGCAAACAAGTGTTGGACCCACGGCGACGGCTATGTGCTAGAAACGACTAAGACTATCAACTAAGACTATAGAGGATCGTGGCCAGCTTAAGAAAAACTTGAAAGTCTATACAGGATCGTAGGCAGCCTACTTCTATTTATTCTACGTGAACCTAATTATTTTCTTCTACTATGTTGGATCATCAGAGTTGGATCAGGGTTGGATCTTCAGAATCATCTAAGTAAGATCTTCATCTGGATCCTCATATTCGTCACAATTTCTAGTGACTCTTCATGATCATGCGAGCAAAATGGATGAACAAGCATTCATCTGCTCGATGCTCATCTTAGTCAAGAAGACGAAGCAGACGTTCTCCCTCTTGACGTGCACATCAGAGGACGTCGGACACAGACTTCATCTTCTTTTTCTTCTTAAGTTTTCTTTCGTCTAGTTCTGAATGAGAGCACAAGCAGTTTTTACAGTTTTTTCTTTCACAAAGAGTATTTTGGCAGAGTAATTTCGTTTAGCTACACATAACAACTCAAGGTCGATGATTATACACGGCACTACCCAAGTAAGTAGTTCTAGTTGCAGTGATATCTATGTCGAGCTTGCTTGCATTGCCGGATGTCTCAGCAAGCTTCAGGTTCAGCCATTTCTTTAATGGTTCAACAAACAATCAAAAATATCAAAATCTGGAAGCTGAGAAGGAATTGGTATTCACAAAAAATGATCGTATTGGAATTGGTATTCACGACGATAAGGATAAGGATTCACGTAGCACTAGACAGTGTATCATTGGTAACGGTGTTGTGACGACAGATATTGATATTGATATATAGGATAAGGATTCAGTGGCAGTAGCCGCCTAGCTGTGGTATTGATATTGCTAGATGATATTCTTTCAGGACTCAGTATAAGTAATTGTTCTTAATAAAATAAATACATGCACAATAGGAGGAAATTAATCATCAATTCAAATTTGAAAACGGTAAAAGAAATAACTACACTTCTTGGCTGTACATTTGATTATATTGCCTATCCTCTTCATGACATGTTATCTGGCACTAAAAATATGGTCGGCATCAATTTTTGGAGGGATCGGAGGGAATTCCATTCAGACCGACAACTTCACTTCACACCAACGTATACTGTTTTTTCGTAGTCGTCACTGTTCGGTAGCCTCCGGAGTGTCCGATCGACGGATCGAATTTCTGCGAGTATGGGTTAGAAAAGGCATGCATTTAAGCGATCTAAGTTACTTCAGCCATCGCGAAATGGTGATCCCTTCAATACAGATAACGTGGTTAATTGGTCATAAAGTAGCGGCTCCACTATCTTGCCAATATTGCTCTTGGTTGGAATTCCCTGCTGAAATTCAGAGTTTGACATGCCTCATGAAATTCCACGCCTGTTTTCTCACCAAGTCTAACAAGATGATGTTGCTTCCAAACTCGAAATTAATCAAGTATAAATGTGGAATCAGCCGAACCCTTAAAGGTAGTCGTCGTATAGCTTCCACCAGCACCATTTGTTTCACGTGTTGTCGCTTTATGTTTCCCAATCGGCGAAGAGTTGCGACGTGCACGACCTCTAGGATGGACTACAGGCGGTCCAAAGGTCCTGGTGGAGCCACGCTGTTTTCTCCGCTGCTTACCATTTTTGTCTACCACTCGTTCTGCACCGCTGGATTCGCTCTCCCCAGAAGTAGATGTTGAGGTATTGAGTAGTTGTTCACTCGTTGCTGAGGAACTCCTACTTCTACTTGACGAGCAGCTGTGGTCTTCAGGACTATTGCTTTCGGCATTTCCATGTTTGTTTCGTCTTACTTTCATCTGCCGATAATCTACTAGATCTTGTTGCGCGCTCAAAGATCTTCTCTTACCACCAACAAGCTGTTGTATACCTTTATCACGTATCTTCCCGGCGCCTCTGCTTGTCCCAAGACCACCTGTTGGGCTTGGGTATCCTGCTAAAGGTGTAAGTCTCGCAAAATCAGGTGGGGGAGCAGGAACTCGAGGATAGGCTGTGTAGGTTTGTTGATTTGGCCCAACAGGGAAATCCTGGACGACCGACCTTCGACTTTTCCTCCTACCTCCTCCACGCGCTGAAGATGTGCGCCTACTTGGAGGTCTTCTTGCCAAGCTTGGTCGACCGCGATTGCGCTCTGAGGAGTTTGAAGGTAAGAAAAACAACCTCCTCTGTGCCATTCGTCGGCTTCTTGCATGTTCACGTCGGATGCCTTTTGAGCCACTGGACTTAGAAGAGATAGCAATGGGGATCTACTAGACCTAGACCTATGCATTTGGATTAGGATCGAAATTTTTCTAACGACATAGTACACTGCTTCTCCTCGAGGTCGACGCACTAGTTCGTTCTCGTTGCTCATTTTCTACTAGTACTACGACTATGTATCAGTTTACTTTTGTACTCCAGCAGGCTCGTCCCGCAACCTCCATAATGATGTACAGACTAACTCTTTACTATCAATACTTCTTCTTCATCAGGCCGTTCATACCACGGCCATAATGTACAACATTGCGAAGGTCATTCCTGCTAACACCGTGTTGCCGAGAAGGACGGCGAATCCAAGGGCAAAATAGACCGCACAACCAGGAGAGTCGACTAGTGTTCGATAGCCGGATACCACCATATAGATCACCATCAAGAGGTTGCAGAAGAGACAAACTAAGTTGGAGGCCGAGGACATCGACAAGGCTTCCCAAATGATTAGAGGTCGATTCAAGGTGTCTGTTTCAAGGTTCAAGGTCCGCGGCTCTGCGGTGCAAGATGTCCTCTGTTTCTGCTAATCATATTCGTGAATGGAAATCATGTTGACTTCTAGTACTTTTTCAGACAGTTCCATCAGTACTGGTGCAGAGCCGCTGGCGCTAGCGCTGGTTGTTTACGTGGAACGATTTACCAATCTTTAAGACACCGAAACCTCTATTTAGTTTCTTCAATTTTCTACTTTAGTGGAATAAAAAAAGTACTCGAGATCACTATTTCAAGAATTCAACTTAGCAGATTCGGCCCAGCACATCTTGATGTGGAAGCTCCCAAAGCATAACATTAGTGCGTCCATTGATTACCTGAAAGTGGAAAGTTGTGGGTTTTGAGGGATGGTCTCAGTCTCACTCTCTGATCTCTCGATGTATGATCGCTCAAATTACATTTACAACACTAGTGACACTATGTGAACTACAAACAGATGCACGATCGCGCAAAGTACAACATTCATTAGGGACTTAGTGAACAGCACCAGGACTCCAGCGTCGGCCTACCAGTTTTCATTTCGATCTTCTCTACGGCATGAGAAAGCATAATGCACGACTTTCAAACTACAAGGAGGACTTCAGTGAGATGAAAATGAGAACAAGGCAGCCAACATCTTATCACTTATCTGCGACATCTTGTATCTTAAAGTGAAGCACACAACCTTCACGGAGAAGTTGGCACTGTGTTGGGCTTTTCTACTAGAAAACCGGCACGCTTCAAGTTGATGGTCCTAATCTGCTTTCTGCGTTGGGCTGTCCTCGGGGTCTTGCCCTCAGTTACGTCTCCAAAAGATCGCAGCTTTCGCACGGATTCATATCCGTCGCAGCGGCTCTGCAAAAGTGACTGAGTGGTCTCGTAGCTAAACTCAAACGCTCCGCACTCGTGGAACGCAATCGTTGCTACTGCTCCAATCTGGTCGCGCGGGTCTCGTGCTCCTAGTATGCGGGAGATGTAGAGGCTTTCAGTGAGGCCCTCAACTATGTTTTTAGATCGCCTTGCCCTGCGGAAGTAGCGGACGTTGTCCTCCGTGGTAGCCTGGGGACCGTATGGGCGTAGTCCTCCTTCTTCGTCATAGTCTAGCAAATGCGGATAACTGGTCTTGCTTACTGCTTTCGCAAGACTCTCAAATAGTTCCTTTCTCAGTACTGAGGTAGCCTCCTTTCTCATTCTTGCTTCTTCTACTTTGAGCCACATAGTCCTCTGCTTCGGTGTGAGGATGAACGGGAGCGCCTCACTCTTCTTGCTCTTGGGCTGCGGCATCCTGACTACGCACCCACGCTAGATTCGGAGAAGAAGAAGGGAAAGTAAGAGCTGGGGAGCGTGAGGGTGGGTGCTCGTCCGTCTCGCATATCGTCTTATCTTCGTTGGAGCTAGAAGGTAGTAGCAGTAGTAGTGGTAGTAGTGTTGTCCTTGTCGATGGTTTTACTCCATTCCATTCTTGCTGTAGCTTGTTTAGTCTTGCTACTTTTTTCCGAAGTCAAAAATTTGAAGAATAGCCACTTGCACAGTTGGCCCAGCGTCTTGTTCGGTAATACTTGTCGCAAACTGTCGTAAAAAGCTGGCCAAGTCTTGCACGATGTGCTCGATTATCCACTTAAGCGGCCCAACCATGCGGCGAAACATCGACGACACATCAGGAGCAGTGAATCTTACGGGACGTTCTAGCTCAATCGCGAAACCCTGCTCCAACATCATCTTGTTACTTTTCCGTTAGTTTCTATAAGTTTAAATATCTACGAGTGCGTCCTGTTCTTGGTCCGGTAGCTTTACGCCTCAGATACGCGCTAAGTACTTCCAGTGTCTTTTACTGAGTAAAGTTGGCTTTCGGAGAAGATTGCTTTTCGGTTTCTGCTCATGTAATTCGCATGAAAGCTAGGCTTTTTGAATAAGAAAACCAAGCTTCATCAGCCAGACCACACGAAAAGACGACGAGACAAAATATATCACATCAGCACACAGACAAGTGAAGAAGCTAATGCTCGCTAAGAAATGAAGCAGGAGAAGAAGAATGAAAGTGAGAGGCCGAAGATATGAACAAGGCATAAGTTTCAAATTCATCAAGTCAGCAAAGACACTACTTTCGAGGAAGACCTTCCATTTACACCCACCACACCATTCCACGACCAAGAGAAGAGCGCCAAGGTTTTGCTTCTTATTCATTCTGATTCTAGCAAGGAAGAAAGGAGACGAGATCTTTAGATTAGCGCCGGCGCGCCAAGGTCTTAAGAACGAAGCGCGACTTTTCCGAACCCAAGGAGAACGATCCAACAACTTTTCTGACAAGCTGTTTGTATTTTCAATACAGAAAAGCTACGACTAGGAAACATTTCCCGACCTCGAAGAATTCCACTTTTCTCTCCAGACCAGAGTTGCCATTTAATCGAGACTCTCCCATGCTGACTTGTGGCACTCTCCTCTTCCACCATTTATTCCTTCTACGTCAACAACTCCGCTATCACCACTCTAATGTTAGTCCTTTCTCTTCTCCACTGACATTTTTACTCGATGATCGTTGAAAAGGGAAAGCAAGTCTCACACGCGTCAGAAAAATTCTCGGGATAGGATTGGAATTCAACGCGCTGATTTGGAAATTCTCTGGCCTGCGATCGCAGGTGGCATAGCTCCTTGCCTCTAAAGCATTGCACTTCACACACGACAGATGAGATTTCCTGCCGAGTGATTCTTTGGGGAGACGTAAACTCTCGTAGGAAAGTCAAACTCTCGATACCCTGTTGGAGATAGAAGATCTGCTTCAGCTGAAACGATCAACAAAGTCGCGAACTCGTCGATTATAGCATCTGGGAAATAGAAGACCAGATGAAGCGAGACGACGGAAGCCAAGATGGAAACGCTGAAGCAACAAAGCAGAAACTCGGCTGCGAAGTAATTGCAGCAACTGGCGCAGGCAAGAGATTTGGAATTAGACGCCTTGAAGGACAAGCTGAAAGAAGAGAAGGCGCGTGAAGCAAAGCAAGCCAACAGCACCAGAAGACGCTAGTGCCAAACAGCGAAAGTGGCAAAATAAGGAGCGGAATTGGTCGCGAAGTTGAAGGAAAGCCATCGAGGCTTGAATTGCCTCGACCAAAAGAAGACTCGCGCACCCAAACGAAAAAGCTCACGATAGAGCGTAGAGCCACGAATCCAAATCATGCTCTTTCATCAGAGGAGGGCGTCGACATGACAAAGCGAGGATGGTGCAAGGAACAACTCACTGCGGTCGGACTTCGCCGAGGATCATGCTGGCTCTTACTGCACTCCAGCAAGGACTTCATAGAACCTACAAGGAACAGATACAAGATTTCAGAACAGAAGCAAGATTTCAGAACAGAAGCAAGATTTCAGAACAGAAGCAAGATTTCAGAACAGAGAGATGCAAGATTTCAGAACAGAAAGATGCAAGATTTCAGAACAGAGAGATGCAAGATTTCAGAACATACAGATGCAGGACTTCTTTCAGAACAGAGAGAGTGAGAGCGAGATGCAAGATTTCAGAATAGCCGCAAGCAGATGCAAGATTTCAGAACAGATGCAAGATTTCAGAACAGATGCAAGATTTCAGGACAGATGCAAGATTTCAGGACAGATGCAAGATTTCAGGACAGATGCAAGATTTCAGGACAGATGCAAGATTTCAGAACAGAAGCAAGATTTCAGAACAGAAGCAAGATTTCAGAACAGAAGCAAGATTTCAGAACAGAAGCAAGATTTCAGAACAGAAGCAAGATTTCAGAACAGAAGCAAGATTTCAGAACAGAAGCAAGATTTCAGAACAGAAGCAAGATTTCAGAACAGAAGCAAGATTTCAGAACAGAGAGATGCAAGTTTTCAGAACAGAGAGATGCAAGATTTCAGAACAGAGAGATGCAAGATTTCAGAACATACAGATGCAAGACTTCTCTCAGAACAGACGAGAGTGAGATGCAAGATTTCAGAACAGAAGCAAGATTTCAGAACAGACGCAAGATTTCAGAACAGACGCAAGATTTCAGAACAGATGCAATTTTTCCGTTACCCGTTGGAATTGACTTCATGTTCCAGGGATCTTCACTCAGCACAGAGACAGAGGGTCTCAGACTTTATCACTCAGAACAGATTGCAGGAGTCTTCAGACTTGCCCTTGGGCGCTTCTCTCTTCGGACTTCTCTGTTGTCTTGGAACACGCACACACACCGCGGATTGCCATCAGCTACACATAGCACGACTTCTTTGGATTTGTTGTTTCCCCAGCACAGACTACTTCATCCGGTTCGTTTTATGTTTAGCTCTAGCACCGTGTGTGACTATGTGCATGCATGTATGTTGTCCGGTCGTCTGTGCTGAGGAGCAGCTCGGGAATCTATCTGTCTGCCAAGAGAGTGCGTCCTAAACTATCTTTCTATGTACAAAGGCACTCCCTTGACAGACCCAGAAATAATGATATTGCCAAGGGAGTGCGTAAATTACTACCGTGTACAACTGCACTCCCTTGGCTATTAAAAAGTATGAATATACACGGCCTACCAAGAAAGTGCATAAACCCTGTACAAATGCACTCTCTTGGTAGACCAATAGTTACTGTGTCCGCCGAAGAAAGTGCATACTAAACCCTGTACAAACGCACTCTCTTTAGCGGACAAAAATTCATTAATTATCACTATCTGCCAAACTCATTCGCCCCATACGCTGACGAAAGCGAAATGGAGTTTGACAGGCTTAATTATGTCAGTGCCTGCCCCTCATGCTATGACATGTGTGGAACATATGCTATGACATTACGATGCTCAAAATACTATGACAGCAGAACAGTAACGAGAGTATACATTCATTATATTCTTACGTAAGCGTAAGCATGTCACTCTATGAGACTGCACGTGTTTGGGTCGGTATATGTTTAGATCTGTGAGCCAGTCTATACATAACAAGGAGCAGCGAGTTTTCCACTTACCCTCCCCCTCAGCAGCTTCCTGCACCTAAGTATTTTCGAAAACTACTCACCACGCTCCGTAGTAAAATTCTAAAATACATGCTGTCCGAAGAATCATGCTCATGGCGAAAGGAGAAGGGCTGCGTAGAAACTGTCGAAACACATAGGTGCGGAAACAATGAGTAGACATCGTCGAAATATCTCAAACATACATACGTAGCGTAGGGGTGACGTCCTTACATCGAGCAAAGCCTGTCGCGCCAATTCTACGGCCATGATGTGAGAAATATGTAGCGACGTGAATGAACATATAGCAATCCATGATACAATTCGCGTCATCAGCGTTTTCGAGTAACACAATACCAAGAAGCATACTAATCTACATGGGTTATAGATGACGGATCAAGCATTGACATATTTTGGCACTTCAACGGAAAGCTTCGCCTGAGCCTCCACTTATGAGAATGAAACTAATAATAGCAGGCTACCCACGAACACGCACCTTCCTTGCGCATCACTTAATTATAATCAAAATTACAATTACCCATCGCCCACCAACCTACCACTATCATATCTATTACTCATTCCCATACCTCCCCACCCCCAAACCGCTGAAGCGCCAGGACTGACATCCTAGAGAAGAC